CCCACCAACAGAGAAGATGAAGAGGATCTGTCTCAAACATCGGTTACCAAAGACTTGGATTGGTTGCGTGATAGAAAATACTGGAACCTAAACATAGACAATAAAATATCGTTTATCAATTAATAGTGAATAGAAATTAAAGCTCTTAATCATACGACCAGCGGAAGAATCATTTTTCCACGAAGGCAAAGCCTATATTATTTCACTCCAGGACCAATAGAAACAACGTTAGTAAAAGCATTGTATGGAACACACGCTTTTTGAAAAAATATTTTCTACACATTGTTTAAATTTGTGTTTACACATGAACACATGATTTTGTTAGGTTAGCAAATTGACGATGACAAATATTGCCCATACACACCAATATTCCTAAATCTGACATTTATTTTCTTCATAATGAAGGCACAGCAAGAAGAAACACAATTGTACGGTTTATGGTTACGCGGTACTGACGCAATTGAAACAAAGATTCTTATTAATACACTTTTTTTATAGAATAGGGGCATACGGGCAGGATGCACACCTTATGTTAAGTCAAGCTCATGGACATTCTCAAACGGCTCGAGAGTGCGTTGCAGCCTTTTAAGAACTCTCTTTTCTTGAAGGACCCTAATTCAAATTGGTTCGAAAATAATTCAGTGGGCAGCTGGTTCCACGTAGTGGTGGTGCGCAGCAAACACTGTCTTAAAAAAATGGTATGGTATACTGGGGATCGCTTAATAGCGATACGGCCATCGTTATGCCATGTTTTTTTTTGTAATTAATGTGGAAGATAAATTTATACATACATAAACCATTAGAAAATAAACATTCAACAAATTATTATCGTTATTTTCCTAAATAATAATGATAAAAGGTCGTACAAATGTCTTTATAACACAAAGATACTTTCAAATAAATGATGTCGAATTTGTTATTTCAATAATAAATAAGTTTACTCGATTATATGAATTATTTTCCTTGAGATATAAGTAAATACCCGCGGGTGATTTCCCTTAGTCCTATTATTTATTAATCAAATTAAAACAAGAAATATCTATTACAGCCTTGCTAAATATCTTAATATATATAAATTACATGTCACGTTGTTTGTCCGCTATGGACTCTTAAACTACCGAACCGATTTCAATCAAATTTGCACACCGTGTGCATTTTGATCTAACTTAAAAGATATGATAGCTTACATCTCAATTTATACCCGCAATATTATTTTATTTCAAAATATTTGTTTATTATTTGATAGTCACAATTCTAATAGATGGCGCTGTGTTGAAAGTACCAAAGTTTCAAATAAGCTACAATTTAATGGCATTGCCACCAAAAAAGCATGGTGGTCCCCATGACTGGTGTTCTCCTACCGTTTCCCTTGAATAGGTTACTACTATGTAATATAACTAAAACCTTAGCCACAGCAACGATTGGCCGGTCTGCTAGTATATATAATATATCAGGGTTCAATTAACCTACGGCCCATGATTCTCTAGTCTGCTAGTATATATAATATATATATATATATATATATATATAGACACAGGGGCTAATTGAACCCTGGCTGATTGAAATAGCGCCTGGTACATTGTACCGGTGACCCCAGAGCTGGGTGCTTTCCTTGCTCACTGAATGATTATCAATACTGCAAGGAAATGCTGCCAGCATTTTTCAATTATTATTTTGTAGATTAAGAATATTGTAAATACTAACATATATAATTGTGTGTTGGAAATACATATATATATATTTATTTAATTCATAAAACTACTAACATATATGACACATGATATTAACTGTAAGGAAGAAAATAAAATGTTGCATTTATATATTTTTTTTGTTGTATGGGAGAAAATAAATTATTATTATTATTTTTATTATATTAATATGGGTAAAACGGGTAAAAGCCGAGGCGGCTTTTAACAATTATCTATTTTTTGCTACCCAGCCATCTTTTACCCGCCGTCATCTCAATGTTATCTGTCCATCTGGCACAAGGTCAAAACAAAATTATATTATAACTATTAAATTATAATGTTTTTGCTTTTACGCCTTAAGCGAATCGAAAACAAGTATTATATGTACAGATATAATGGAATGGACCGAAAATTTTGGCGCGGATGTTGTAAAAAAGTTTTAATAAGTCGAGGGTACAACAGCGTATACCGAATTTCAAGGGACCGAGCATTTTCTTTCGTTATAGAGAGGGAAGATAAAAAAAAAGTTAACCAATTACAATAATTTCTAATTTTATTACTATTAATAGGTAAAACAAAATTAAAATTCTAAACACAGTTAATACATAACGCTTTTCTTTTACTGGCCAGCTTGACAGTTTCAAAGTTTGCTTACGACTGATAATACACGATAGGTGATGGTGGTGCGTTTAGTATCTGAGACCAAAATTTCCTACAGGCAATATAATCTAAGAATAATGGCACACATGTTAATGCAATTAACAATAACGAAGACGGCTGTTTATGACCTCAGGTGTCTTTCTTAGAAATTTCGGCACCTCAATAGGTTAGTTTTGTAAGCTGAATCTAAAAACAAATACACTTAAGTATGTTGTGGATGTCTAAATTTGAAAATATTTCTTCGTTATAAAGAGTGAAATAATGAATGGGTTTTGTGTTAAACCAAACAAAATTGTAACTATTTTTTTTTCGTTTTAGAGACTTTTTCGTTATAAGGAATGACTTTATAAAGAGTTTACACTGTATGTAAATATATAAAAAAATGTATTATGTGGAACGAAAGAAAAAATATACTATACACAATAAAATGATATTTAGGTAAAATTTAGTGGACTAGCCCCACACACTAGGATTCCCTGTGTCTTTGGTACCCAGTCTCCTTTTGACATGTTAACTGTACTTGACAATAATTTACTGTACTTCACAGAAGACTTAAAAGCTGGCAGCTACCTCGGACAAAGAATTAGTCTAGCTATTCAAAGGGGTTGAATATTGAATTTTAGATTCAAAGAATGTTATTTTTACGTTGCTTAATGTAGTATTTAGATGATGCCTATTTTAAGTAGATAACTACGATATTCATGTATACATGGAAGTAAATTGTTCAATAAAAATAAAATAAATCAGTGGCGCTACAACCTCTTTTGGTCTGGGCCTCAGATTTCTGAATCTGTTTCATGATCATTTTTAAATCTAATAGGCAACTAGGTGATCAGCCTCCAGTGCTTGACACACGTTTTTAATGTGGTTAAAGATGAAAGGGCCTCGGAAGGAAAAAAGCGTTGGGCGAAGAAAGTGCGTTTTTTGGATTGCTTATAGGTTTGTTTGTGGTGTGGTCGGTGTTTGTTTCCAAAACAGTCTGCATATTTCTATTAAGTATAGTTCTCTAACCTCTCTATAGTTGAGTAGCGAAATGATTTGATATAGGATTAATCAGAGGCGGATTATACCTACGTAAGGCAAACTAGGTACGTGCCTACGGGCGTGTAGTTACAAGGGGCGCGCGAGCTCAGATTTTTTAAATGAATAAAGAAAATAACATATCGACGATTAAGAACTAATCGTTATTCAAAACAACTAGTTAAAATTTATATATAGTATTATGATGGCCATTTGTGGCCGGTACAGGGGCGCCGATAAAGTGATTGCCTAGGGCGCTCTGGACCTTTAATCCGCCACTGGATATCTTAAGAATGGCACGTTGGGCACGCTCAATTTTCACCATTGAAGACGGTCGCTGTAGTCCATTCCGATATGCAGTAAAATAATATCGACTGGCATAATGCAGTATACACTTTATCTTGATTGGATCAGAGGGTTTTCTAAGCGTTTGAATATATTTATAAGTTTGCCAACTCGAGAACAGAGGTATTTGAGGGCCACAACAAAGCCTTAAACCAATAATTAATTCCAGGTATTTGGTTGTTAATTGGGGTCCAGAAAATGACAGCAGTTGGTGTTAAGGTTCAAACAGGAGATTTAACATGGTTAGGTAAGAAGAATATTTTCACGAATTCCTAGTCTTTCTCATTTTTCAAGTAATAGTGACCTGGAAACAGTGTCGAAAGCTTCGGTTAGATCAAGGAAAACACCAATACACCTAGTTATTCATCTAATTTGGAACTCATAGTCAGCAGTTGCATCTTCTGTACATTATGTCTGGAACCAAATTGATTGTTGGCCAGGATACATTATTTTTCCAAGTAATCTGACGTTAATATTTTTCCTGTAATGTATAATGTTAATAGCTTTTTTTTCTCTTTCTATTTGAGCAACTTTTGCTCGTAACGTGCAGGTTTGGTATCATGTCCGTCGTTTCACAACCACTGTGGTAAGCAGCTGCTGAAGTATTTCCAAATAAATTCGACTTAGAGACTTCTAGAAGATATTGTATACATTATTTAAAGGCCTCGTTGTACACTCGTTGTAAATACTCGTGAGCCCTCTGGTATTGAGAGTTTCCATGGGCGACTGTATCACTTAACATCGGATTAGCCACCAGTCCGTTAGCCCCAAACAAAAGGAGGAAGCCGGCATGTCATATTCAAAATCGTGGACGTATGTGTCAAGCATAGGATAGACACCGACTTCTTGACTGTAAAAAAAACTATAAAGGCAACAGCAATTCAACAGCGAACCCATTTTAAGTCTTTTAAACAAAAAAATGTTTGCTGAGACGATTTACAAATCATCTGCCCTACTACCAGGGTTAGAAATGAATGGAGTATTTACGAATCATTATCAGCATATAACTCAGGAAACATGACGTATCAAACTAAAATTACTATGAAAACCCATCAAAACTATTAAAGCGTTTGACAGTACCTTCGCGATTCTTACAAATTTGTATTGTTTATCCAAGAACACGTTGACCAAACAATGAATATTCATAATGAAATTACAATATCTGAAATAAATTAGCATCTCATTATAATAGTGATTATTTGGTTCAGGACATACAATACATGGTTACGGCTATCATATTCTGTATATATAGCGAAAAATATGCGAAATAAATCAGTAATTCGTGAAATGTCTCGTTCAAGTTTGTTCCTTGTGTTCGCGCTTGTTGTGGTGGCGCTCGCAGAGGACGCATCTTCGGCTGCTCCATCATCAGCATCGCCAGCTTCAACAGCAACGACGCCAATGACTCCAGCCACACCAAAAACCACTCCAAAACCAGATAAAGCGGAAGTATGTTATTAGTTGGTTTATTTTGAGCTTTCCTGTTGGCGTAATTTTTGCAATTTAAATTCTTAACCTTGCTATAGAGATATAGTATCTGTCAATATGGTTTGTAAAATACCAGTTATTAGCTATCAAAATAGAGAGCTAATCTAAGGTGCCTAAACAACATTTGTAAAATCATTTTTTTTGTATTTTATGTAACAGGAGGCAAACGGGCAGAGGGCTCGCCTAATGTAAAATGATAGATACATTGCCAGAGGGCTCGCAAGTGCGTTGCCGGGCTTTTAAGAATTGGCACGTTTTTTTAAGGACTAAGTCGAATGGTTCGGAAATGCAAGTATTTGTGTGCTTACTACCATCCCGTGCCTTTGATTAATAATTGAATACTGAATTTATTTTCCCGGCTTACTAGACTTTCGACCGGTATTCATAAAAGGGCGGTAACGGACTTGCGATCCACTTAAGTAACTTCCTTTGTTACTGATAGATAACTGTGATATAAATAATAAGGAAAATATAGTTCTTTAGTCTGCGTTGGATGTGAGCGATAAGTGAGCCTATACATGAATGTCGTAGCAAAAATATATTTGGATAAGGATTTTATAACATTCTTCTCTTTTCAGAATATAATAACAGGTCTGGTGAAAGCTGCTTATGATATTCCAAAAGGCTTTTTTGACGCGTGCTCAGATGTAAGTATGGAAAATTGTTGTCCCTTTTTATCTTTGATCTTTGCTTTTGTGTTGAAGTATCAGTCCTTAGACATGTATTTATATATAGACAATCTAACAAAACAAAAACGTAACGTAACGTAGGTTACTTTGGGTTATAAATAAAACAAAGGTTTGAAAATATCAATACACTTTGTACCAATTTACTAAAATGGAAATTTGCTGCAAATCTAATATATAAAATTCTCGTGTCACAATGTTCGTTCTCGTACTCCTCCGAAACGGGACGACCGATTCTTTTGAAATTTTTAAAGCATATTCAGTAAGTCTGAGAATCAAACTCAAACTCAAACTCAAAATATCTTTATTCAAGTAGGTAACCAAGTACACTTTTGAATCGTCAAGTTAAATTAATCGTAAATTTACATTTACTACCAGTTCGCAAGTCAAGGGCTAGAGCGGGTAAGAAGAACTGGCAAGAAACTTTCCGCCACTCTTTTAATCGCCAAGTATTGTCATACAAATTGTTTGAACTGGAGCAATTCAATCCCAAGATTAGATCATTTAAGTAGTCCTCAAATTTATAAAAGCTTTGTTGATTAATTTTCGTTTAACGAGGGCTTTGAATTTATTTAGTGATAATTCTCTAATTTGCTTGGGAGCTTGTTGTAAAAACGAATACAATTTCCATAAAGGAGTGTTTATTTTGACTGGCGTACACTCAAATTATTCTATTTCGGTATTATACTGGGAAAACCATTTTTTAAAACTTTAATTTTTTGAATACAACAAGGCTTCAAGAATATATTGACCAGATATGTCATAATATTTAATTCCTTAAACTTATTCCGTACCGACTCCCTCGGAGAAAACAACAAATACCCCGAACAGCCCGCTTCTGCAGCACAAATATGGATTGAACCTCTGCAGCAGCACCCCACAGTAAAATGCCGTACGACATAACGCTATGAAAGTAGCTATGGTACACAATTTTAGCGTTCCTCATAGTAAACTGTCGGATTTTCTTTACTGCATATGCTGCAGAGCTCAGCCTATTCGAAAGAGTCTCTATTTGGGCCCCATTGGAGTTTATATCTATTGTTATGCCTAGAAAAACATTTTTCAACAAAGTTTATTACTGTCCTTAATTTTCAGGTTACCAATATCTCGCTTTACCTAGTAGTTGTAAATCTAATACATTTTGTTTTATTCTCATTAAGCAATAAGTATTTACATTAAACCATTAACTATAGAGAGATAGAATTGTTTACATCGTCCAATAATACGTTATTCCTATTCACTTTAAATAGAAGTGAAGTGTCATCAGCAAACAATACCATCTCATGAACTTCGTTGACAAAGAATGGGAGGTCATTTATGTAAATCAGAAATAAGAAAGGCCGAGAATCGATCCTTGGGGGACGCCCATTGATACCTGCGAACCCGGAGAGGTGACTCCATTGACATGAACTCTTTGGATCCTTCCCTTTAAATATGAATTCATCAGGCTGAAGCTTTGCCATCAACGCCAAGTGTTGAAGCTTTCCAAGAGTATATCAGGATGAACAAGTCAAAGGCCTTTGACAGGTCACAAAGACGCCGACTCATCATATGATCTTCCAGGCGTTAAATATTCCGAAATCAACTTCACACCGCATCGATTGTGGAGCGACCCTTAGTGAAACCATACTGTTTATTATGTAAGAGTTTATTTTTATTAAAATGTAAAGAAAGCTGTCTAGCATTATCTTTTCAAAAACTTTGCTCAACGAGGAGCACGGAAACAGGTCTGAAGTTTGACGGATCAGACTCACTACCGGCCTTGAACAACGGTGTAATCTTCTTAATTATTTCTGAAAGACTCCACAATGATAATCTGTTAAAAATTATAGACAATTCAGAGCTTATTACATTAATAACGGAATTTAAAATGACTGTTGACATACCCCATATATCTTTACTTTTTTAAATTAATAAGCTTAAAAGTTTTAACGATATCATTACAAGTTATATGTTTAAACTGAAATTTAATATTACATTCAGGTACAATTTTTCTAGCAATGAGATCGCAGAGAGGTGAAGAATCTAGGGACTTGGTCGATTTAGTGGTACATTGTAAAGAACTCTTCAAAAGAAGAAGCTACCTCTGGGTCAGATTTTATTAACTTCCCTTTAACTTTTAACATATAATCAGTTCGTTTGTCAGACGTTTTACCTGATTCTTCATTTATTATTTTCCAGGTAGCTTTTACTTTATCCATGCTATTTTTTATTTTTGAACTTAAATATTGAGACTTTGCAGTTTTGCAATCTTTTTTGAAATTATTTGAATACAACCTAACATATTCCCTAAATTCCACACTAGTGTTATATTGATTTCGTAAGATTTCATATAATTTTAACCTTTTCCTGTGTAACTCCTCATTTGCCCAGTAAGAAACTTGTTTTCTCAGAGACCAATAAAGTCTTTTGAGTAAATACTTTCTTGAATTCATCAATAAATGATCCAAAAAAAGTATTGTATAAATTATTAGGGGATGAGTTGCCACACAGAAATGGCATTCTATAGACCAATGCTTCTCTAAATCTTCCAAACGGTCATTTGTAATAGAGTTATCACAATTTTCTTTTTTTAATGTTTTTGTTTCCTTAATTGGAATTCAACCATTGAAGTGTGATAGATTTAAATCTATTGAAAATAAAAATTCAAGGGGCTACTATATATCTTTCAAACCCCTAAGTGATAAGGGAGTGTCCGACCCAAAAAATCTTGTTTATATTTTGGATAACGTTATTTTTTATTATGCGTCATTAAAAAATACATGTACAACAAATTTTCACCCTTCTACGATCAACCCCTCTTTTTATTATAGTAGATAGTTATACATGGCAAAACAACGATTTCCGGGTCAGCTAGTAATTTTATAAATTCGTGTTTTTATCGTTAAAGAAGTTTTTTTATAAATGCGTTGAATACGCACCTAAGGCAAATAATTTAATTTTAATCAGTAGATTTAGTACCATGTATGATGTCGTAAACTTAATAAATAAATAAATGAATAAATAAGGCAAAAATACACATTTAAAAACTTGTAGAAAAATAATGTGTTCAATACTTCGTAACCTTATTTTTTTTTTTTTTTTAGTTCAAGAAGGCACTATTTGGTGGATTCTTCTAATACAAGTACAAAGTAAAACAAAGGAAAGTGACGCTCAGAAAATCACCTATTGTTAATCTTCATATTTAAGATGTAATAAAGACTGTTTACGAATATGAAATTATTTAAAACATTTTACCTTGAATTAAATTTTTAACTGTAAAAGAATATTAACTGCGATTCAAGATCTCTAGTATTTTATTAATAATAAAAAATAAAATAAAATATGTTTATTATGGAACATAAGACACAGGTATCACTTATTCCACGTCATTAAATTATAAGGCCGAGAGAAAAAGTCGGCGTAAAAAACTCTCGGTACTCTTTTAAAATAACAAATCATCAAACAACACTTATTTTAAAACAAATATCGCAAATTAATTAGAAGTAGACTGTCTAGCACTAGTCCCAGGCCCTTTTATCAACTTGATAATCGTTAACTTTATAGTAAGCATTTTTACACAGCTTTTCTTCAATACATTTCTTAAATGTTCTATATTAGAACTACATAGTATCTACTATTTTATAATCTATCTAGTAATATTATAAAGAGACAAGATTGTTTTATGGAACAGGGGGCAAAACGAGCAGGCCAATTAGAAAGAAGTGCTTACTGCCGCCCATGGACACTCACATCACCAAGACATTTACGGGTGTAATCCGTGCAAATTCTGGCCACTAGTATTAATAAAATAGTTTCTGATTAAAATGCTAACATAATAATTAAAATAAAATAAATAAATCAATAGCGCTACAACCATTTTAGGTCTGGGCCTCAGATTTCTATATCTGTTTCATGATCATTTGTTAATCTAATAGGCAAGTTGGTGATCAGCCTTCTGTTCCTGACGCACGCCCTCGACTTTTTGGGTCCAGGCAAGGTTTCCTCGCGATGTTGTCCTTCACCGTTCGAGCGAATGTTAAATGCGCACAGAAATTCCATTGGTGCACAGCCGGGGATCGAACCTACGACCTCAGGGATGAGAGTCACACGCTGGAGCCACTAGGTCAACACAATTAAGTCTTAAATAAAAACTGCGTGCTTGCCACCTAACCTTATGTCACTTGGAGGATTTGACGGTTGACGGGATATAGCGTGTTGACATCTTCGATTTATTAGATTTCTAAATTATATATATATATCGAAGATTGATCAGGAACAGTTTATATATTTTTATCTAATATATTTATTTACTTAAACTTATTATAAGCTTTAGGTAATGGTCCTTTTCTATTTATTTTCAATCACGCGAGAGTAACTAATAAGATTAAGATAAATTATTTGATTTGATTGCGCACATCGGAGTCCCAAGGTAGGAGAAATAGAATAGCGGCCGTTCCTTCTTTATGAACCGTTTGCGAATTTTCTATATTGGTACAGATTAAAAACAAAAAAAAGGATCTATCGCTAGACATCGCGGTCTTATGAATTAGAATTGTTTTTTAAATAAAAAAAAACTATTTAATTCAGCCTTTTTTTATAGCTGAAAAGGTTTACTTTAAATTATTCAATAATTTGAGTCAGACGAAGACAACAACATATTTTTTCGTGAAGGTTAAGTAAATTTGATAGATTTTTTTTTAATTTTGACCATTTTTAACGAACTTGCGGAATGCATCTAGGGCCTAAGTGTCCAGAATAAATGTGGTATAGATATGCAATACTGCTAATAGGCTGATGCTTTTGTGAACAAATCTGGAGGCTGGAGAATCACATCAAATATTTTATATAACGCACGTTACAACTTACATGCTCTAAACAATACAAAATTATTTTCCTAGAAGGCTACTACAACCGTGTCCGTAGTAACCATTATATTATTAAATGCACCCTTTTACCTAATAAAATAACAAATTAAAGTTTATTATTTACAATTTTCTTAACTTAAAACAATAACTAAAACTAAAATATTATTAAAAGGAGTCCTTTTAGGCAAGGTTCAGAAGATACTGGCTGCGTCCATTTCAATAGGTGGACTAATTCTTTGTCCGAGGTAGCTAACAGCTCTTCGGTCTCCTGTGATGTCGACTAAACTTTTTGCTATTCCTTAAAAAGCCAAATATACTAATAATAATAACAAAAATAGTTAAAAAATTGAAATAAAGATTCTATACTTATCCATAATATTTCGCAAAGTTGCTTTTTGGGATTGCTGAAACAAAACAGCAACATCTCTTAGATAAGCTGTCATAAGCCTTAGAAACACACTCGTCTAGGGCCATGCAAGATATCTTTTTTTTCATCACAGCCCATGGACACCCATTTTTAGTGGGTGCGTTGCCGGCCTTTGAGGGAGGAGTACACTCTAACTTTGAATAGTTGGAGGTCGTATCTCTCAGGAAAGACCCACACCGAAAGTCGATTCCACAGTTCGCTAATTCGCTAAAGTGCCTTGTGAAACGGACTGTGAAAGATTTCCAGCCATCAAGGTGATGTTGATGATTTGTATTGATACGGCTCGTACGATGTGGAAACGAGGCAGGAGGGATCAACCCAAACAAATCTTCAGAACACTCACCATAGTACACTTTGTAAAAAACGCAAAGAGACACAGTAATATATTGAGCATTCCTATTGAAACAAGTGAAAGACTTTCCTCCGCCATCGCGGAATATTCAATCCTTGTTCATCTTTCAATTTAATTATAAAGTTTATTTATTTAGGCTACAAGTGTAAGGCAGACCACGTTTTGTTGCACCATACCTTCATATACAATGCATACATATATCTTTTTAGTTTACTTACCTATTTACTATATATTGTATATTTATATTTTGATATAATTACTGGTATTGTAATTGTTCTTTCTTTAGTGTATTGAGTGCGCATTAACACAGCGCGAAGTGGACATGTATATTTACATAATATAGTATTTTTTAATATTTATTTGTATCTTATATTGTAAAAATAGTGTGTCAATAAGGGTTTTATTATTTCTTAAAAAAAAAAAACGATGGCGCAATACGATCCGTCTTTATAGGCAGTTATCGAATATGTTGTCCTTATCACTCTCATGCTACTTTGCATGTAAATAAAGGTGACAAAACCTTATTTTTTACAATACAAAATTCAAGACCTCACCTTATTGTTTTAATGTCAAAACAAATTAACTAAACATGCATAACACTAGATGTTTAACAATACTCATGGCTAAATATTAAATTTAAAAGAATTTTCTTTAAGGATTTCATCAGTGTGGCCATGGATTCGAGACTGGCAATAGTTTTCGCTCTTTTAGTGCTGGTTGCGTCTTCGAGAAATGAGACTGCGTCGGAGGCCACGGTCCCTAAGGATTATTATCGGCCTAGTGGCGTAAGTATATTTGCTTCACTTAGGTGATGAAGTAGCCATACAAATTTAACTCCAGAAAGAACAAATTTTTATGATTTTTAAAATAAATTGTATGGGACAACTGAAATATGATATTCTTCAATAAAATATATCATTAAAAAACCGTTCAGTTATTATAAATAACAAAACGCAACTGACAGTTCATAATATTTTCTTTGGTTTGTTAAATGATAAAATATATCTCAATATATACAATAAAATAATACATCAAATATTCGCCAGTACTACTGTTTTAAAATGTACTGGTTCTTTGAAACACCAAGATTTGGAAAACCGTTCATTGGGTTTAAGAACTCGTGTAAATCAATAGTGTTTTGGACAATGAACTTGTTCGTGTTTTTGTCTTAGATTTTCGTTACACACGTCTTGCCAGCGACAAACGACGTAAACTAGGATTAACTCAAAGTAATGGAAATGTCAGTCCAGTCTATTAAAAAATCTTTCATAATTTTAAATAAGATTGTTAATTTCTTTTTCTATCATAATTCATTTACCCGTTACCCTGTCATATTAAAAAAATTAAATGGTGACGCTACAACCCTTTTTTTAGGTCTGGACCTCAGATTCCTGCATGTGTTTCATGATTGAGAGACACGCCGTCGACTTTTTGGGTCTAAGGCAAGCCGGTTTCCTCACGATGTTTTCTTTCACCATTCGAGCGAATGTTAAATTTGAACATAGAAAGTCCATCAGTGTACAGCCGAGGATCGAACCTACGACCTCAGGGATTAGAGTCGCACGCTGAAGCCATTGGCCCAACACTGCCATTTATCTACATATAAGTTAGAAATAACCGACGCGATAACAGCAAAAGAAATACAATTAATTATATTTTTTACATTTCAGACCCTGGCAAGTGTCGGAAGGATGTTTATTGATATACCACTAGGATTCGTAGAAGCACTGAAGGACGTAAGTGTATTAAAGTACTAATATTTTTTTTTAAATTAGCCTTCTTAAATACATTAAATAATATTGGCACAGGTTAATAAAACATCGACTTTAAGCGCTAATCAAAATTTGAATTTTGAATAGGACGTTTAGGTTAATATCCTGAAAATTGTCAGTCTGATTACAAAATCCTCTTTGGGACCTACTTGCTGCCAATTTGCATCATTTGACACAATGTGCAGCAGAGCTATGCTTGAACATACACAAAATATATACCTACTTCGAATTGATAACGTTATTTTTGTTTTTTTTAAGGCAGTTAAAAATATCTTAATATGAAAATTATACAAAGGATTTTTAAACGGAAAATTTTATTCATCTTAGAAAAACACTTTTTTAACGGATTTGAAGTTATTTTTTATTATAAATTTACAATTATTTTACATAATTTTAAATTTAACCGACGTTTCGCGTGCTTTACAGCGTGCGTGGTCACTTCCGTCGTCGTAAGTCGATAACAACTCCGTGTAAATAAATACAGATAACACAACTTTTTCTACAGCTGTGATACTTTTTGACATTCAACACCTTTTGTCTTCAGTCACCGTGACCACGCACGCTGTAAAGCACGCGAAACGTTGGTTAAATTTCAAATTATGTAAAATAATTGTAAATTTATAATAAAACATAACTTCAAATCAGCTAAAAAAGTGTTTTTCTATGTCTAAAAGTTATGTTAATAAAAGACAATATTAATTCATCTTTATTTATTATATATTATATTTAACAAACATTTATTTTCAGGCAGCCGAAGCGATAGAAAGTGTTGCAGTTGCTCTGGTCAAGGGTGTTTTTAGTTGAGTGTTTGAAGACTTTTTACCTATTACTCTTCGTTGTCTTCATTACTGAAGGTCGTGCCTGTTGAAAAGCCCTAACCGATACGTCGACTTACTGCCTCCACACTGCTCTGCCCTCTGCTTGCCTCAGGGCATTAGGGACCCACAATTGTATTAATTTTGGTAGGCAATCGACCTCGACTTCTGCCATCACTCCTCCCTATCATTGCCAGTTTGTCGGGACTATCCGGTTCTCTCTTGGCAATATGACCTATGTAGCAAGCTGAAGATATTTCACAAGTTTTCGAAATCGGTCCAGTACAAGGTTATACGTTACAAACATAAAACTTTTCCCTCTTTAAAATATGTATCAGTAAAGATTTATATCTTAAATATTTAATCCTTTAAATATTTTTCAATGAGGCTATGCAATAATGTTCTAATAGTTACGAAAATTTAATCAAATTTGTTCATGACGAAAATAAAACAACAATTTTATTTGTATTCCTTTTTTAAACAGCCAATCATACATTTAATTCAATACATGATAATTTGTAAATAAGAACTTATAACGTAATTAAATCTATAATTAACAAATATATTATATCAATTTAAATAATTATATACATAACAAAAACTTGAATGTCAAGTTTACGAAAATAGCTGATAAATGCAAATTAATTTCTATATTACGTATACTGTGTAATTAGTTGTAAGAGCTTTTTAAAGACCTATTTATGATGTTGTTTATCATTCAACTGTTTTTGTATGAGATTTACGGATTTAACACTAGGTTTCATATCAAAAATACTGTAAGTTCTACGAGTCGTAGATGTTTGTACAGAAAACTAAAAGAACATCCATTGAGTAGAAAATTTACAATTTCTAATAATATTTTGGATATAAACCGAGATTAATGTAAGGTTAATAACCTTTAGCAAACAATGTGTAAAACTAAATTTTTGACATAGCAATAAAAAAAAAAAAAACACCCGAAAAAAAAAAAAAAAAAAAAAAAAAAAACAAAAAAAAAAAAAAAGAGGGGAGAAAAAAAAATAATATAAGGGGGGGGGGGGGGGGGGGGGGGGGCCCCCCCCCCCCCCCCAAAAAAAAAAAAGGAAGGAGAAATATTTTTTTTTTATATTTTTTTATTTAAATATTTTATGTTTGGGGTTTTTTGTTTTTTTTTTTTTTTTTTTTTTTTTTTCCCCTTTTTGGGGGGGGGGGGGTGGTTTTATATTTCAAAAAAAATTAGGGGGGGGGTTTTTTTTAAAAAAAAAAAAATTTTTTTTTTTTTTTTTTTAAAAAAAGGACGGGGGGGAAAACACACCCCCCCCCCGGCAAAAAAAAAAAAAAAAAAAAAAAAAAAAAAAAAAAGGCCGCGCCAAAAAAAAAAAAAAAAAAAAAAAAAAAAAATTTTGGGGGGGAAAGGCGGGGGAAATTTTTTCAACCCCCGCCGATTTTTTTTTGCGCCTCAACAATCCCGGTCCTCGTATTTTTTTTTTGATAATTTACGTAACGATGCTATAAACAAATTACACGGTGCCATAATCAATGAGGAATGAAAAATATATTAATAAAAAGCAAGGTTATCAAAGAGATATAATTATATAGGGCGAGTTACACAAGATCTTTGCGTTGATGATTTGATTATTCCCTATATATTTAAATCTCTTTGGTAAATGAGAATATTTACAATTAGGAAATTATTACATAATGGTGGGGTAAACCAAAATACTGGTGGTAAATACTAAATATATTCATACATTTACGGTTTTCCGTATAAAACTATTTGTAGCTAAGCGAATATCTCTTAACAAAATTTGTACACAAAATAGACAAAAGGGGAAGCCTCAATACTGGATAGCAAATTTAAAAAAAAAATTTTTTTCAAAAAATCTTTCTTTTTTTTTCCAAAAAAAATCGGAAAAAATTCTTCCTTATGTCAATTTTTTTAACTTTTTCTGGACATAAAGAGACGAAAAAAACATGCGTGGATTTAAAAACCTTCCCAACAAATTTTAGAAGTTGGTATATTAAAATATTGTAATTAATCAAAGCTTAAGATAACTAATGCACAGATTATGTCTAAATTTTCGATCAATCAAACCTGTATATGTTAATTGCCATTTCCGAATCTTCTCTAAGCCATTAAAAATCTACGTTTGTAAACGCAAGACATAAAGGGAACGACACTGGAGTATTTTCAAGCTCTAACTGACAAATGCAAACAAAATTCGTTTTAGATCGACTAGAGATATTCTAGCACTAACAGTAATGAGATTTTACCAAAGAGATTACTTGACTAGACCATTGGACACATTGATGTAATTATTTTTGTGGGGTTTCTTATCCATATCGTACATAATATATGTCGGATTAGACGCGGCGATATTCTTCGTGTTCTTATTGCAATCTTTGGCTTCGAAAACCTCATCATCATTTTGAGGGGCCATGTTTAAGTAGGCATCGTCCGATTCTGATGTTCGCGCTGGGAGATTGTTCAGTGTAAGCATCGGAGTTCTCTCCTCGGGCCATTCGTTGACCTCTATTTTTGCGTTCAATTTACGAGCGTCAAAATCGAATTTGGTGCTCGGTACACGTGGACTGAATATGTGTTGTTGATTCGGGGGGCTCATTTGTAAGTAGCCTTCGTCATCTATAAAGGAATTAATACGAAATAGGTTAGTCACTTCAAGGTGCAGTGAAAGAGTCGCAGTGTATTAAACAAACCCATTGAAGGACATATATTTGAAAATAAGTAAGTGCATTAACATTTTTAGAGCGTTAACAAATTATTATTTTTTTAAAGGCCGGCAACGCACTCGCGAGCCCTCTGGCATTGAGAGCGTCCATAGACGGCGGTATTACCTCACATCAGATGAGCCTTCTGCCCGTTTGCCCCTTGGACTATAAAAAACAACTCACACACTTGATACAGAGACATATTTCTAATTTGTAAACAAGATAAAGCTATATAGTCTGTACCATCACATAGTTATCTATACTTGTCATAGATAAAAATGGCTGGATTTATAGACCTCTAGAAGTTACCACTTTGTTTTAAAATATTTTCTTATTAGGCTCTGTTTATATTATAGTGCCATTGAAATGTATATATTAAATAAATATTGAATTGTTCTAGCCCCAGAAAGGTCCCAGTTTAGTTCATGTCACACACACGTATAGAAGTTATATAAATAATTGGGTATATATATACCAGTAACGTGAACTTCATTCAGTACTCTTAGCGGCGTAGAATAAAATAGCAACATTCTCTTAGCAACGGTTTACGGGCGTATTTGAAACTAAAAACATAAGTTCGCTATTGAATAGTCTTCCAATCAATCCTGCTCACTTAGCACGAACCATATTTTTTTTTTTTATAGAACGGGGGCAAACGGGCAGAGGGAGGCTCACCTGATGTTAAGAGATACCGCCGCCCATGGACACTCTCAATGCCAAAGGGCTCGCGAGTGCGTTGCCGGCCTTTTAAGAATTGGTACGCTCTTCTCTTGAAGGACCCTAAGTCGAATTGGTTCGGAAATACTTCAGTGGGCAGCTGATTCCACATAGTGGTGGTGCGCGGCAAAAACGCTCAGTTGTGGAACGGCGGACGTCGAGATGATACGGGTGGAATTTCGTATTCTGTCTCGACGTCCGATGATGAAACTCAGCTGCAGGTATTAATCCGAACAACTCCTCTGAACACTCTCCATGGTAAATGCGGTAGAAGATGCAGAGTGACCCCACATCTCTACGCAACGCCAAAGGATCAAGCTCCTGGAGAGGGATTGTGTCGACGATTCGAACCGCTCTGCGTTGTATACGGTCAAGTGGAAGGAGCTGGTACTGGGGAGCCCCCGCCCAGAGGTGAGAGCAGTACTCCATGTGGGGCCGAATTTGCGCTTTATATAGTTGCATGCGGTGGCCCGGAGTGAAGTACCGCCTCGCCTTGCTGAGCACACCAAGCTTTTTGGAGGCTAATTTAGCCTTTCCCTCCAAGTGACCGAGAAACTGAACGTCGTTCGATATGTATCGCCAAGTATTCCAATGTGGCTGTGGCTTTAAAAAGAGTGTTTTGAAAGAGGAGTAGCGACAAAGGGTGTTTTTTAGGAGGGTAAACGCGCAAACTTGTGTCTTCTTGGGGTTAAATTGGATAGGTTTGTCTGCCCCAGTCTGAGACTCCAGTAGTAGAGTTTCGACTTCAGACACAAGTTTGTTCCGGTACTCTATCAACAACTGCCCGAGAAATACCTGCCCGGCCAGTGAAAAAGTATCCCCAGTGCTGTCATCCGCATAGCAATGAATGTTGCTAAGGTTGCAACATATCATTGATATGCAAAAGAGAAGGTCGGGATAGAACACAGCCTTGTGGGACCCCAGGTTCACAGGTTTAAGGGTCGGAAAGCTCCGTCGATGACGACCTTGATGCTCCGATCGGCCAGAAAGCTGGAGATCAAGCATATTTCTCGGGAAGCCCATTTATAATGGCGCTACAACCTTTTAGGTCTGGGGCTCAGATTTCTGTTCTGGGATCATTTCTAATAGGGAAGAATTTTGGGTCTAAGGCATGCCGGATACCGGATGTTTTCTTACACCGCACGAGCGAGTGTTGAATGCGCACATAGACAGAAATCCATTGGTGCACAGCCCAGGATCGAACCTACGACTACAGGGATGAGAGTAGCACTTTGAAACTAAATGGCTAACACTGCTCCACGAAACATACGTACATAATAATTATTACAGTAAATTACAATTATTAGCTTTTATAATTATTAGACATCACGATTATCCAAAAACAACCCACATCCCATCATCACACAGGACACTTGTACCAGAAATTATAAATAAATTGACGTGCCTTTTTTATTGAAGGTTTCTAGACGGGGCACTACCGTAACAACACAGACAGTTTGAAGCTAAATTTTTTGCTTTTTAGAAACGAACTTCTTGAATATAGCCTGCACTTTTAGCGTGATATTCAGAAACGTAATTAGGCGCTAAGTCTAACTACTTGTACGTGAAAAATTTATTGGATTTTGGCATACGGGAGATCCCGCTAAGCCTCCTGTCAGAATATCACAAACACTATTTATAATAAAAATAACGTTATAATAAACATTTTGTTATTAAAATTCAAGAAACTTGCAAACAATGGAGATGAAAATTAGTATTTCAACTATTAAAAATATAACAAGATTAGGAAGACCATTTTTGCACATATTTAGATTGAAAATAATAGAGTGGTGACTTTATGAGATACGTAATTTACTAGTAAATATATATTTAATAGTAAGTTACTTCAGTAAAATGATTCAACGTGGATTCAAACCTCTAGAAAACACCACGTTTTGAAAAAATTTAGAGGCCTTTGTCGAAGGACAAGCTGTAAATGAATAAATAACCGCTTGCCGATAGATACAAAGTATAGCCAAGAACTAAATATTATATAACTTTAAACACATTTACTTTATATTTAGCATGTAAGCTAAACACAATAAAAGGTTTTTTTATATTGAATAGTAATTTTTCTTTCGAAAAATTGCCACAAAACTCGAAGACTTAAATAACTGTAAGAAAAGTGCAAGCTAAGAGTACTGAATAAAAATATATAAAGATTAAAACGCGGTGTATTTATTCCCAATAAGTTAGAATTTCGAAGATAAAAACATTGGCAAAAGGTTTTACACTTATTGTTAGTTACATCAACCATGCCTTATACATTTTATTACCGTATAAGAATCTCTTTCGCGTGATCAGACTGGCGTATTTTCCGTTTCGTCTGACAAAAGGAAAAATGTTTATATGAAATTGGTAGAATGTTTAATAAGATTTATTAAAGTACGATGTGTGTAACAAGGAAAACGTAATGTTTTCTGCAGCATTAAAGAAAAACATTTTTAATCAATCATTAATACAGGACCTAGCTAGAAATAATAAATCTTTGCAGAAATTATTATGCGTACGTTCATATGTTTGTTATTTATTTATATGGCTTTTGGCGTAATCTAATTTCCGAGGAAATTTCCAGCCTTGAAGACCTGTTTAGATACAAAAGCCTTTAACGTTAACTTCTAGGAAAAGTAAGACAACTCTCATAAAAAATTGCCTTGCTTTAACAAAGCGTAAAAACTTTTGAGGCGTAAAAAACAATTTACAAGAGATAAATATACTGAAGCGCAATGGGCTATTTGACGAGATTTTAAAAAACCATTTCAGATTATTTGTTAGTATGGAATTTTTAAATATGTTAAGGCTTTCAAAATCTCAATTAAACATTTAATATTTCCAGAACCCGCCAAAAAGTGTTTCTAGACAAGATGGCGTCGCACCAGTCACTATGACGTACGCCTGTATACATCTAAACAAACGTCAAGTTCTTCACGTGTTAATTGTCATTCTTCAACGATACGTCATTCTTGGTTTGACTAATCTGTGACGCAACTGACGTATAAAATCAGTTTTAAAAATTATGATTTTTTTTTACATAAATTAATAATTATTTACCAGTTACTCCAAAACGCTTTAAATGTTTTATACATGTAAGGAAAACATAATATATTTTCCTATACAAAAAGTTTGTATTTTACTTTATAAAACCTAGAATATAGGCTTTAAATGTTGTTTCTTTTGTATTACAGAGATCATATCACAGAGAAACGCAGTTGCGCCTTATTCATTCCCAGTATAAGCAATTGATACTATTATAAAACAACATTTAAAGCCTATATTCTAGGTTTTATAAAGTAAAATAATATAATGAAAAAATTAAAATATCTTACATATATGTCAAGTGACATAAATTAAACATCGTCGATCAGACGGCAAAGACAACATTACAAAAGAGTTTATATAAAATACAATATAGACAAGAGTTTGTATAGGAAAATATATTATGTTTTCCTTACATACATATTACTCTCAGTAACACTTAATGTATACTATCAAATATAAATACTAAATAAGTTATTATAAATGAGGGTAGTTCTTACCATGCGCCAATATCTTGGGTGTTGCAGATGGGAAGAACTGCTTAGCATCGTTGGTATAATGATGGGGGCTGGGAGTGACGATGTTGTTATAATCCGGGGCTGATACCATCGCTAAATAGTCCTCTTGATCTGATCTCGCATTTATATCCATGTACATAGCGTTCAAGTCTACGTAATGCTGGAAAATAATTTTTTTTATATACGATACATGGACAGACAAAAAAATTTAAAAATAGAAAAAAATTAATGCAGCCAGGGATCGAACTCACGTTCAGGAGTCGCGCTCAATCAATTGGCTACGGTATATATTCGAATTTGTACTTTAAATCTCACCTGTCGCGCTGTCAAATGTCAAACTTCATGTAGAAAAGATTACAGCCTTGCGATTCTGTAACTCACTTTTCGAACTCACACAGCGGTTTTCACAGCGGCGGTCGCACTCAAGTCAGTCGTAAAGCAGTCATTTTACGATTTGGCATTCTGATAAACAATAAACTACAAGCTCCCTCCTTATAGAGTTCGAAAAGTGAGTTACAGAATCGCACGGCAGCTCTTGAAATTAGATTTAAGTGGAATTATCTTATTTTAGAAGAACGTAATTGCAGGTCTACCACTTTACAAAGACCTAATATTACACAATTTAATAAAAAATAACTAGTAATAAATACTTTCAAATTGTTAGTCTTTCTTAATTTTTTATTTTATTTAAGTAGATTCTTTGGGTATGTATTAGAGCCAAGACTGCGTAAGTATGACTCCCGTATGTCAAGATCTAACACGTTTTTGACATACTCAAGTCACACTTAGCACTAAGTCTCGACTAATATTACCCTGAGTCGTTTCTTTTGCGACTTTCGCTAAATGTCTTAAATCCATACAATAAAACTTCCCATGTTATGAACTCATGAAATCGTTGTAAAATTCTAGTAAAATATCTTACATTCCGAACATTATCCTCGAGGAAAGAACCCAAAATAACTTGCAGTTCTGAAAACGATGGCCTCATCGTGGGTTTCTTCTCCCAACACTTCAGCATGACGTCATACAGCCTATCATCAGAATATGTTGGCTTCTCCAGACGATGTCTAAAATCATATTTGTTTTTTTTTTAACTTTAAAAATTCAAATTCTTTACAAATATGCTATACAAAATAGGTAAAAGTTATAAATAATCTAAGGATAATAATTTAATGTTGTAAAATAAATGAATATTAATAAAAATAAACAATTGAATCACGACTCTAATTGCAGCTCCTTACATCTTGTAAGATTATTTTATTACATTTTATTATTCATTATTATCTGGGAATATATGATGCTTCTTAAGGGGCGAACTTTGGGTATAATCAATAAAAAAAATTAAATGACCATAAATTTAAAAAAGTTTTTAATTTTAATTTTAATGACCAACGAGAATTTATTTCGGCTTTAATTTTCACAAAATTTTTTAAAAATAATTGTTTAATGCACGCGGTTTCTACTGATTTATGATATGTATCAAACATTCCTTAATATGAAGCCAAGAAATCTTAAATAAGGGGCGCTTGTCCCAACGTTTGGTCATGTGTCAACGCTTGTCCCAACTGTGGATGGTGAGGTCGGGTCGGGTACTCCCTACCTGGACCAAATCCAGGACGTACTAGAGACAAGTCGAACTACCCATAATCAACAAGCATGCATGGTGGATGACATGCAGCGAGAGAGGTATATCCCGACAGTAGCCGGTGGAGATCCGTCTGCCATTCGGGAAAACAGTGTGAATGTAATCAATTAAATCAAAATAATTACCCCGCAGAGAGCCAGTTAAGCAAGTTAGCCGGGCTGATATTTGGATACGGCGTTTGTGCGAGTGAAAATAGCTCCCATAGAACAATTCCAAAGGACCAGATGTCTGATTGCGTGGAGAAAATGCGGTCCACCATACATTCTATGGCTAGCCATTTCACCGGTAGAGGGCTCTGAAAGAAAATAATAAAATTCAAATTAATTTTTTTATTTGACAACATTTAGGGTGTTTTAGTTGTTTTTTACAAAAATTTTACTAAATAAGTTCTTAATTTTATATTTAGAAAGTTATTTAATAGATATTTTGATCAAATACAAATAAAAAACTAAGGTAGAACGTGAAAATTGTGACCGAAGTATTACACTGAATTTATAGAACGGAGGGCATACGGGCAGGAGGCTCATCTGATGTTAAGTGATACCGCCGCCCATGGACACTCTCAATGCCAAAGGCTTGTGAGTGCGATATTTTATAAGAATTAGTACGGATATTTTATAAGAATTAGTACGCACTTTTCTAAAAGGACCCAAAGACGAATAAGTTCGGAAATACAATCAATTATTCATATATGAATAAAATTATTAATTTATCTTTCAACCTAACGAAGAAACTCATTTTTGGCCAAGCATTTTAAAGGCTCTTTGTTAACTTTTTTTTATTGAACGTAATTTTAAAATCGTTGACGAACACTTCCAAAGTTTTACTATTTTTTTTGGTAGAACATACACTACTATAAACTATATTTGTTTAAAGAAATACGTAATATTTGATATAGCGTCACCTAGGTAGTTATTTGAGAACTATCATAAATTTATACAACCTTACCATAAACCTGGTAGCAAAATGTTCATTGTTTTGTTTTTCCTAAACATTATTTCTAGTTAAAGGTCAGCTAATAAAGGCTTTACTTATTTGTAATTAAGAAATTTGTATCTATATAACTAATATAGTAAAAAACTGAAACATGGTTGAGTCTTTGAAAGTTAAGTATAGTGCCATCTAAGTTACTTGTGTACTATTAATATACTGTCATTTCGCGCCATCTAGTACAGAACTTGGGCATTATCATAATTGCTACAGAGTAGAGCAATTATCTGCGAATATATATTAGCGCCATCTATTGAGTAACGTATGTACTATTTTCATGGGAAATTTGTATGTAACGTGCTATTTAGTAAGAAATTAATATCGAAACATATGTATATATATATAGAAACATTTGATGTTACACAATAAATAATATAGATCGTGTCCATAAAAAATCATAAACTACTTACATTCTCTTTCTTTTGATATTCATCATTTTTATAGATGCTCCTTGCTAGACCAAAATCGCAAATTTTCACGACATTATCTTCGGCCAATAACACATTTCGCGCTGCCAAGTCACCGTGTAGGACCTGAAATATAGGTAATATTAAAAGTAATAATAATTATCTATCAAACAGTTAAATATTACAGGATATACACCAAGGGCGTCGCCAGAAAATCGAAATACACTTTTCATTATTATTGAATTTTACAAATTCTATTTTATTTCTTTTAGGACAGGAGCCAAATGAGCAGGCGGGTCACTTAAAATGTTTACCGCCGCCCACGTACACACAACACCAGTAGGTTTGCAAATGCGTTGCCGGCCTTTAAAGTGGTCTGGCTCTTCTTTTAAAGGGTAAAGTCGTAACGGTCCGAAAATACCTGGAATGTCAGCTGGCTTCATAAAGTATACATGTTTTGTTGTAGTCATTTTTAAACTTGCTTTATCGAACGCTAACTTTACCTACTGTAAATTATTAATCATATTAACCCACCTTTCTACTGGCAAGATATTCCATTCCCCTAGCGATTTGGAAGGCCCAAGCGAGGAGATCTCTTGACGTAAGAGGTCTTGGCTTTCGGCCTTCGTAAATGGAGTCGCATTCGTAGTTCGACCGCCATTCTGGTTGGACGTATCCCGTTTCTGAAACTGATAAATTTATGGACTGTTACATCAGTATTACTTATTTTTTAAATTGCAATGATCCGGTTAGCGTTTCTGGTGCCATTTGTTTGAGAGCATATTAAAAGTAAAACAAAGCAGACATAAATTAAAATTATAGTTAGTCGTTTTCTGTGGAATTTGTATGCCGCTTTCACGTCGACGTGTTTCCGAACCAATACGACTTAGATTCCTTCAAGAACATAGCGTTCCAATAAAAAACCAGCAACGCATTTGCACTTGCCAGTTCCTATAAAAAAATTTACCTTTTCTTCCAGATCTTATAGTGATTCCTGAATTTAGACTTGTATGGTCCGTTGCTTGAGTGTGGTTTGAGCCGTAATAATCAGAATGCATTCTGCAAACAAATATCAAGGCTTTAAAATATCTGGCAAAACTATTAAAACGAAGTTTTTTTGTCTTTAATTAATTTAATTTTTTGTCTAAAGTTAATTGTCTTTAATTACTAAAGTATTAAATCTAAAAATGATTAATAATTAAAAAATACATTTTGATGATTTTTTTTCCCAAGAGCGATAGCGACCCGGCTTCGGATGACAACAGCGCTACGAATATTGAAGAAACTATATCAAATTGTATATGAAAAGTCCGTTACTATTGGCAGTTACAGAGCACCACTGATGAATATTCTGGTTGTGTCCGCATGGAACGACACCGCCTTTTCATATTTTTGTATGTACGTCAATTTGTTTGTTGTATAATGGGTTTGTCCTAATTTTGTAAGCCAAATAAAAAATATATATTACGCGCTAAAAATTAAAAAAAAAATGTTGCTAGTTTCCACGTACTTTTATTTCCAATTAATTATAATTGATGTGCCTTCGGAAAACATACAGCATTGTATAATGAAGAAGCAATGTATACTTAGCCATGAAGTGCGATACATACCGAGTGAAATAGTTCCTCTTAGATAGAATAGATGGCGCTGTAATCGCCTCAACTTCATACATATCTTAACCAGCTAGGACGTTGTCATTTCCACAGTCATAGCGTTGTGAACTTTCGCCGCGTGCGGTCGAAACCGAAACGACTCAATAACGACTTAAAACCTTATGGTCTTTCTTAGTGTTAATTATTAGCAAAACGTATTATTTATACATTACAAGTGCGTAATAGACTCACGATGCCGATAAGGCCGCCGCCGGGGCCAATCAGGCAGGTAGTCTAAATAAGTGTCGAGCAAGGTCACGAACAAGACAAAGAGGACTCCACGTGCACCAGCGGCGCGTCTGTAAGCGACTCGGAGCGCGAGGGACCGCCACGAAAGAAAAGGAAACGAGTAGCACAGGTAACGGTCGATCCCATGATCGACGCGTTATATAATCAGGTGAGTTTCCTCACAAATTTTTTAATGCATGAAACAATATGTACCAAATGTCAACGCCAGTGCGTCCAATGACGAGGGTACCCACCGGCCGACCAACTACTATAGCGATTTTTTATTAATCCGTCGACCGGGAAAAATATTACAAAATAAATATATAAAAATTATAAAAATATAATAATATATTGAGCTTATAAAACTCCAACATTTTAATACTCCCATGTGGTAACATATTAGATCTAAAAAAGCCCTGGCAGACATGCTGACGTCTCCAGGCTTTTGTAACCTCAAAATTAAAGACGTAATACGTTGTCTTATGTCAAAGGGAATTACTACAATCTGGATTACAAAAAATCATAAACTGGACTCGTAATAACCCAACGGAATTAAAACCCGCTAATCTTTTCACAAAAATATCCTATATTTTTGGTAATGAATCACCTTCTCACAAATTGCATGAACAAACCCTGCAAATTGTATGCGGAAAACGAGCGGAATGTATAGAAACTACGCGTAAAAGATTAAATAAGTGAGATTTCGGACAAAAGTATTCAAACTGTGCTTAGTAATATACCTCCTATAGCAAGGTTTATTAATTGACAAAAATAAGCTCGCGTCCCTCATACAATCACTTGGTGGGCCGCAATTATGGTTATCTCCGCCGCAACCTTCAAGAGTAAGAGAGCTTTTTAAACCTAGTTACAAAGAATCGTCAGTATCTACATCCAAATAAAGACACCAGACACAAAATGGAAAAAAATAATTTTCGTAATACCTACATAAAACAAGAATCGATGCGTCCTATTGTAGATTTGCGAGAACTAAACCGATTCGTGAAGACAAAACATTTTCGGTTGATCTCCCACGGCTTAGTCCCAGACTTTCTTCAACCAGGGGACTGGATGATAAATAGATTTATCACAAGCCTATTTCCATCTACCGGCAGCGAGATCACACCGACGATTTAATTAGCTTTATTAAGGTACAGTTAAAAAGGGCAGTTATACGAAAATATGACTTGCCTTCCTTAGCGTTCCTTGGGCTAGCGTCAGCACCACACCTTTTCTCTGCAGTATCATGTTGGGTCGCGGAGACCTTACGTGCGAAGGGATGTCGAGTGCTAGTCTTCCTAGACGACTACCTTCTGGTCAACCAAGACGACTCCAAGTTAAATTCTCAGGCCGCGGAGGCCGTGAGACACTTGGAACACCTTTTAAGTTAAATTCTCAGGCCGCGGAGGCCGGGAGACACTTGGAACACCTTCCAAGTTAGATTCTCAGGCCGCGGAGGCCGGGAGACACTTGGAACACCTTCCAAGTTAGATTCTCAGGCCGCGGAGGCCGGGAGACACTTGGAACACCTTCCAAGTTAAATTCTCAGGCCGCGGAGGCCGGGCGACACTTGGAACACCTTCCAAGTTACATTCTCAGGCCGCGGAGGCCGTGAGACACTTGGAACACCTAGGTTGGAAAATCAATTACCAAAAATCCGTATTGGAATTAGAATACCCAAAATTTAGAATACCTTGGAATTCGCTGGAATACTTCGGTCAATGTGATGTCGCTACCCAAGGTAAAAATACAGCGCATAAACCATAGTTATGCGTTGTATTCGCGAGTGACAATGTCTGCTAGGACAAGTAAGCTTCGCAAACTTTTTCGTGCCCCAAGGGAGGCTTCATTGTCGTCAGGTACAGATCTTTCTGCGACAATTCAACAAGATCCGACCTCGTCGATGTCAACTGCTGCCTCAGATTGTAGGGCAGGAACAGATGTGGTGGCTCGGAGCTACTCATCAGACGACGCCTATACACAAAGAACCTGCAACCCACTTCCTAGCGACGGACGCCTCGGATTGGGGTTGGGGGGGGTCACATCTAGACGGAAACCTTGTCAGGAAAATGGTCATACCAATAGAAAACGTGGCACTGCAACAAAAAGGAACTACATGCAGTGATAGCCGCAATAAAAATAAATGTAAAAATATTACATAACACACACGTGTTAATACAATCGGACAAATGAAACTCTGATTGCATACATTCAAAAAGAAGGTGAAACGAAACCGATAGGGTTACTTACACTAACCTTCAAACTATTGCACCTGACGGACAAATTCAACATAACTCTGTCGGTACATTACCTACCAGGGTGATCATAGCAGACAGATTATAAAGGGAAAAAAAAAAGGCTGCGTAGTGGCACCTTCTTCCTCTAGCATGGGTGTTCCCCCCTCCAAGTCTGTTACCCTGAGTTTAGCACACCTGAACCGGGTGACGGGAACCTATCTGATAGTTGTTTCAGATTGGCCGCGAGGTTTCTTTCTGCAGGACCTGAAATCCAGTCTCTAGATCACCCCCACGAAATTCAACACCTATCGGAGACACTCCTAGGTACGACAACTGCACTGCCTCCTCCACAAATACAAGCATTGACCCTAAAAGTTTGGGAAATTGGGGGTGGGGTGCCCAAATAAAAGACTGGTCCACACAGGAAAAAGATCTACTTTTGAAGAGTTGGCGTCACTCCAACTTGTCCACTTTAAAATTTAATATCACTTTTTCTAAAAGAGAATTTATCCTATTCAACCATTCTTGTTCGCAAATCGGCAGTTTTATCTTTTTGCGGTCCCCATGTAGAACAAAAAACATTTTCAAATGGTATTATTGAATACACCCTCGGGGTATTAAAAGTAGCTAAACCAAAAGCCGTGAAATCATCCGTCACGTGGGACCCGCGAATAGTACTAGACTGGCTTTCTTTCAACCCTCCTAAGGACACTTTATTCGATACGGCTCGCAGAACAGCCACAGTATTGCATTTAGCATTGGGCCGCAGGTTTCACTTTATTTGAAATTACTGACGAGTAATTCGTGGATGATGGTGGTAACATTTATTTAACACCGGTATTCGGATCTAAGACAGACACTCAAGACGCCAGTCAACATGGAAACTTTCTAAACACCACGATAAAAATATATGCCCTATCACTTTAGTGAGACTTCAGTTAGTCCTGACGACTCATTGGTCTAGTGGTTAGTACCCCTGACTGCGAATCCATGGGTCCCAGGTTCGATCCCCGGCTGGGACGAACATCAATGTGATGAGCATTTGGTGTTGTGCTTAGGTCTCGGGTGTTTAAATATGTAATTATATGTCTATCTATCTATAAAATGTATGTATATCCGTTGCCTAGTACCCATAACACAAGCTTCACCAGCATAGCATGGGACTAGGTCAATTGGTGTGAACTGTCTTCTTTTGTGAAAAAAAAAATTGCTTTGAGTAACAGATACAAGAAGATCTCAAGTAAAAAATCTAAACAATATTTTTATATCCATCAACAGCACAATAATTAGGTCGAAAATCAACCAATAGATGAAATTTTTTATTACACGGGGTAATTGGAAATCTTCAAATACGAGTACATACATTCTTTAATCATTACTGCCGCGAGATACTCTCGTAGAGAAAACTCATGATGATAGGAAGTTTATATTATTATGTTAATTGCACATCTCAATCAATATAGTTATATTTATACCGTAACTAAGAATAATAATTATTGCTAAATACTTATGCTTTGATTAAGAATATTGGCAAGTAAATAAAATTGTTATATAAACAATACCGGCTTTAGCTAAAGCCCTGACTTTAATTCTTCATAATCATCATAGCGTTGTGTTTTATACTGTACTTTATACATCCACCAGCAGATAACAAACACGTCTTCATTATACAATGCTGTATGTTTTCCGAAGGCACATCAATATGACGGTTTTACATAAAAATAAAACCGATATTATGTGCCGAGAAGGAAAACATACAGCATTGTAGGAAGCTCTTCCTGGTGAAGACTCTATGACTGTGGAAATGACAACGTCCTAGCTGGTTAAGTATGAAGTTGAGGCGATTACAGCGCCATCTATTCTATCTAAGAGGAACTATTTCACTCGGTATGTATCGCACTTCATGGCTAAGTATACATTGCTTCTTCATTATACAATGCTGTATGTTTTCCTTCTCGGCACATAATATCGGTTTTATTTTTTATGTAAAACCGTCATATTATTTGATTTGTAATCTGTGCAGCAAAGTGTAAAAAAATAAATAATTGTGTCTAAAAAGATATATATTTTAGAGACAGATAATTTTATATTAAAAAAAAGGGTGCGTGTACTTATGTACGCGCGTAAGAAGTTATACTTCTTTGGCATTATTAAAAATAGTTTTTGATTGCATGCAAATAATTAATTACAATTAAATAATCAAAGACTGGAAAAGGAGTCATTATAGTCAATAAAGTTCAGTTTACATTTGAAAAATGAAATAAATAAATATTTATTATTATTCTCTTACATTAAGTGTAACATAAATTATATTATTATTCGAATGTTATTTTTAAATTATGTCCAATGCCGTAGCATCTTCCGTGGGCAACTTCATTCTGTTAATTTTGTGTCACGGTGCGCGCGCATCGTAAAATTTCACTCTTATCAATTTTTCATAACGCGCCTAAAGAAGTATAACTTCAAAAATTTCCTTACCCACTACTAGCAGTGCTGGAAGAGAACGCCTTGTTGACTTTACCCAGGCTCTTCTCTTTATCATCAGTGAGCTGGTCTATAAACACTTCCCGATGGCGGATCAAATAATTGTGTATGTTGCCAAATTTACAGTATTCCACTATAACTATTAGCTCTCCTGAAATTTAATGTGATTTGTGAACACCTTGTATAGTTCACGGCGATAAATATTGCAGACCTTTGGAAAGAGACTACGTATATATGCATGGTAGCATTGCCTCTGTCGCCCACTATCATAACGTTTTTATAATAAGAACTAGCACCATTAAAAGTTTTGACAGCTTTTCAAGGAACAAAAACAAAGCAACCATAAAGTATTTTATTTCAATTGAAGTTTAGATAAAGGATAAATATAATAATTGATGGTTATGGAATATATACATTGCCGATGTGCAATATTAATGTCTACTATGTTGGATATTTTTGATGTCTTGACGATATTTAAATATTTTTCTTGTAAAACTGTTTAAAAGTAATAAATAAACCATATAGGCAAACAGAATATAAAACCTACTTTTCCCGGCATTCTTCGTACAAGCTCCCAATAGGTTGACAATATTAATATGCTTCCCTAAATGCACCATAATCTTCAATTCAGAAGCTAGAGCTTTGATGTACATGTTATCTGCGGTTTTTTTTGACAGTTTTGACAGCCACTGTGGTAGATTCTTCGGCATTCACTATGCCCCTGGCCTCAGCTTTGTATACCACCCCGAAGGCTCCCGCGCCGAGTTGTTTCCCTAAAAAGTTCAAGAAAACAGGTAACACTTATAGAATACAAAAGTTCTTTAATTTAGATTATTAGATATAGATATAGTGACTGTACAAATATTATTTTTAATTATGTTATGTATTGGCTTTACAAATTCAAATTAAATATTTATAATTTCAAGAACGCGCCAAAACGCTTCTCTAGACAAGATGGCGTCGCACCAGGCCCTGTGACGTACCATTCTTATAAACACGTAAATAAACGTAACATTTTTTACGGTTAGATTATCATTTCCAAATTACACGTAGGTATATCATTCCAATAAAAAATCTCCGCCTCCGACGAAATTAAACTCAATGACAGTATTGGGAATAGACATGCGAAGATATATTATTATATACAAGCCTGGTACGTAATCGTCCCTTTCACTAATCTGTAACTGTTTTGTATCACGTGACTGACGAATAAAAACCAAAAAAAAAAAATTTAATTATTTACAAGTTATTTTATATATTTAGCTTTTAAGCTATTTTTATACATATTAACCTCAATAACACTGAATTCATACTGTCAAATAGCCGATTATACAGGATGGCCAAAAAGTCATGGATCAAATGCAACTAGGGGTTAGATGGGGTCATCAGCTGCAAAAAATTGTTCTACGGGAGGCCCTTCAACTCAACCCCTGCAGTAAAAATAAATAAAAAATGGGGGGGGGGGGGGGGGGGAAACCCCCCCCCCAAAAAAAAAAAAAAAAAAAAAAAAGGGGGGGGGGGGGGGGGGGGGAGGGGGGGGGGGGGAAAAAAAACCCCCCCCGGCGGGGGCCCCGCCGGGGGGGCCCCCCCCCTTTTTTTTAAACCCCCACCCCTTTTAAAAAAAAGGCAGGAAAACCCTTGGGGTCCACTAGTTTTCTTATAAAAACGCAAAATAAATGATAACTCTGCAGGGGTTGAGCAGGACCTCCCGTAGAACAATTTTTTGTAGCTGACCCCATCTAACCCCTAGACATCATCATGCTCCAACAGGCTAACATTGGCAAGTCAACCATATTTAATAAAGTGGTTGGAAATACCGTTCTAAATCCACTACACTTCAAAATAATATAATGGTCTGTCTTAAGACGCTATAAATAGAAGTTTTTATTGTGCAGTAATGAAATAAAAAATAATATACTCAACCGTACAAAACCGTTAGTTAAACGGCACTGTTTAGTGAAAAGGCTAGGCTGTTAATTGAACAAAGTATTAAGCTAGTTGGCTGCGACAGATACACTACGCTACACCAGACGATTGCTAACTTAATACTTTACGCGAGTGAGTTAACACGATTGTTCAACGTATTTGACAACGCAAAAATAAGCAAAAAAACTCACCTATTTTCAGTTTTTCCGGTGGAAACTCAAATTTATCGTCATAAGGTAAGAGTTCGGCTTGTTCATCGATTCCAAGGTCCGGGTTAAGGGACTTCGGCACTCCCTCCTTGAAGTAGAGCAAACCAGCTGCCGCTAACTCCCTCTTAAATTGCTTCATCTTACGTATTCTCCATGCCAAATAGGCAATTAGTATTATAAGTAAGAATACAATAACGCCTACACAACTTAATAGTCCTTTGTAAGTTGGTGTTTCTGAAATTTTAATTTTAAATGGTAAATTGTCACATTCTATGTGTACCCTCCGTTATATAGGAAAAACGAAGAACAAAACAATAATAAAAATAAAAAAGGCGCTCCACGTCACAATAATTAAAATTATGCACATTCAAGATCATCAAAACGAGCCAATTAGATTTGAACAAGGGATTGACAAAAAAAATTATAAAGTTGGCAAAACTGTAATCAAAATCAAGTGCGTCTAGCATAAACAAAAGTGCCGATCGGCCGAGTCAAATTATTATAGATAAAAATTTATAAAATAGAAAACATGTATTTCGAACACTATGGTAGGGGAGCCCAAGAGGTCGGTTATAAGGCAGATTAATATACAGGGGGATAGCTTGTACTGGTTAAGTACCTCACAAACATATCCATAAGGCCTTAGGAGACAGATAATTGTAAATTGACCATCGATTCCCGAGCGCATCAGATTAAGGTAGGGTGAGTTAATTACATCCTAGTTATATTCCACTAATCTGACAATTTGAGAGTGACGGAAAAAAGGGAGGGCAAAAAGTTGTAAAACGTCATCTGACATTCTCGGCGTGGCTAATTTTTTTTTTTTTTAGGAAATAATTCAAGAATAATGAAAAAATATGACATTTGCAAGCGAAATAACAAAATCCTCGATAGTTAAATGCGTAGTGGCTAATTTCTAACCGATCGGAATCTACTAAACGGCGTTCTAAATATTTCCTCAAATTAATTTCTAATTGACCGATTGCCGAAATTTGAGAAATTTTGAAAATCTTAAAAAATAAAAATATTTTTTTAAAGTGGTTTTTTATCGATCAACTTCAAAAACTAATCCCCTTTGAGCTTGAAAACCACGTTATCGCCACTCTGTCAAAACGTTGATTCGTTCGAGAGATATCGTCAACGAAAGAAACCCGAAAAAGTGTTTATTCGGGATTCCTGTGTTCGATCAATTAAAATTACTTATGAGGATATAAAACTGCGTCGAATCGCCAACCGCGTGAAAATTGCTTGATCCATTCAAAAGTTATTGGGTTTGAAAATTCAAAAATAGGTTCTATAAACTTCTATCAGACTTTCGAGCTGGGAGAGCTCAAATGCATAGAAATGTTATTTCTTTGAACTCAGCGAGCTCAAAATATCAATTTTAAGCGCCCAGGAATGGAATTAGCGGGAAGTGCAGGGATGGCCCTTTAGGTGAACCGTTTTTCTAAATTTTTTTGTCAGATCAGGCGAATCCCTTAGATAATCGTCAGATTTGAGACAGTACGTTTAGAACATAAAGATGAACCACATATTTTAATCTGCGCGCTTGAGTATTTCAAAATTGCGATTTTTTTTGCAAATTACGAAAATGGCTGTGGGTTTGCGTCCATCGAAATCGTCAGATTAGTAATGAGATTTTTTTGGTGCACTTAACACTCCTTAGAAAATCTGACGCGCTCGATAAATTTTTTTTTTTTTTTTCAACCCTTAAATACAACCACCCGCATCATGCAAACGATCAGATTAACATACGTACATTATTAAAAATACGTAGGGCATAGATCTATCAATATCTGACGCGCTCGAGGATGTCCATGCAACAGTTTTTTTACATATTTAACTATCTATAGCCGCTTCCCCCACCGATGAAAAGGAATTTATCATATAACATTTTTTTCTTCTTATTATCTAAGCTTTGCATCCCAATAGGTCTCTCGACCTGGAAATCCCCATTTAATGGGGCTCCCTACCACTATATAATGTGCAGAATTGGCGGGAATCAACTAGAAATTACGCAATCACATTTAAATGACAGCGAACACGTAACCATAGCAACACTAACGTTCGCGCCTTTTGGTATTTTTTTTTTCGAAATAAACCAAGCCAGTCAAACGCGCTTTCCGAAGACAAATTATTTAAATAAATGTTCTGACAAGCGTGATCAGCTACCACCCGTTACATTTCTACGAAATAGTTGTAAGTCGTGATATGAATTCTCTAAACAATTATCATATTGAACGACAATGTTAGATTATGCAACTATTATACTATTATATAAGGGCTAAAATGTATATTTTTATCTGTCGTTCACGCTAGGAACCTTACTGCGTAAATAACACTTCTTCAAATCAACGAATCAAATGACGTTAGTTAGAAGTTTTATTTATGATTATATTTTTAGTTTCCGATGCCTGATGTTATTATTTACTTGTTCTATACAAAATTCAGAAGTAATTTCTGACAGTGGAAAGGAAAAAGTACCTTTCATATGAAGAGTATAAATCTTGCTCTGCGTTTCTTCTCCGCTATATGCTACACACTCGTATTTTCCCTTATCATCCTCTGTCATACTCTTTATTCCCACCGTTGAATTTAATGTAGTACGATTCATCATAAATGTAATGATTGCAAGGTTCTCGGTATCTTCAATAGGAAATCCGTCCTGAAATATGTTCAAATACATAAAAATACATATAATACTATACTGTTCATAGATAATGTGACATACTTAATCGCAGATCATAAATTGGGTTTCATTAGATGTCAATTTATTTTTATCTCGAAAGAATCATTTGACATGAGTTTTGAATATTCAATTTTGCAGTTAGCTTTAAAAATATGTTAAGAATAATTTGTATGGAATTATACATTTTATTTAGGTACAGTGTCATACATAAAATATCTAAATCAGTCGAATTGCACTGTTTTATTGTACGTCCCTATCTGACCAATTGTGTTTACGCTGAAATGAAAAGAGACAAATGAGTACTTAAGTGAAAAATGTATGATGTTTTTAAAACGACTATAGAATTTACGCGCCTCCTAGAAAATAATATAAACTTCTTGGTGTTAAAACTATGACAGCCAAATATTCGAAATTTGAAAATTCGTTTGTCAAATATAAAATGTTAACATTCCCGGTTCGAGGGCAAGTTTTAATTTAATTTAAATTTGTTCTCGGCCTTTGGGAGGGTTGTGCGGTAGGTACCGGGCGAGTGCTTAAACCGTACATGAGGGCACGGTCTATCACACGGTTTCTAAAGACAAGCACGAAATATAAAAAATCCTATAGGTACTTGACGTTGGCTTATGCACAAATCGTTAACAATGCATTAAAAAAAAATGTTAACAATTAAATTTTGGAATTCTCTTACCTTATACCAGGTGACTGTGGGAGGAGGTACAGCATCAACCTGACAGGTAAGTTGGATTGGTTGGTAGGGATTCACTTGAACGTCCATCTCCAGCGTCTCCGGAATTAGTATAACAGGTAACCGTTGTTCTACAAATACGCAGACACATTATAAAAAAGTTACATCTCCCATTTGCACTTAAGAATATAGTCCGAATTATTTAGGAGATATTGCCCTTCTCGAAAAAAAAATATAAAACGTGAGTTTAGTTATAGTTACACATATTTTTTAAATTAGCTATATCTCTTATTCAAAATTAGGCTACGAGGTGTAACTTCAATATAAGCATTCATTTATATACAAAATAGAGTCCAGTTCATTTATGGCGTAATAACCCTAGATCTCAATTTCAGCAGAAACAATTATTATTTGTTGAAACTTAAAGTGAAGATGATCTGTTTTATGTGTATAAAATTCACACATATACAGCCTGATACTACAAAAGCCGAAAATACAAGTAACAAATTACGTCCGCGCGTCTATTTCTTTTCATCTTACCGGGAACAATACGTCATGATCTTAGAACAATGTCGGATTTGAAAACAATCCAAAATCCATCTTTTATCATATTTGAATACTACATTAACTAAATATTACGGCTACCTTACAAAAAATCCGTGTCCTAAATTTCAAAAAAGTCGGTAAAGTGACGGATTTGATAGAAACATGTGATTTTTCTAGAAAACTGTGTAATTTAGGGTTATTATTATTATTTTGTTTCAAAACAAACCCTTTTGTTTGCTTGTATGCCAATTTTCATAATAACAGAATATGAATTGAAATAGTTATGACAAAAACTAACATGATTATATTATTTTGAAATGGCTGCCCTGTAAAGTTTCCTATTTGTCAGATCCGTCACTATTCTACGACTATGACTTACATACATACCTATAACAGACACATGTGTCATATACGATTCCTCTGAATCATCATTTTTGTATCCCACACACGTGTAGTTCCCAGCATCGTTTAATGTTATTCCATCAAACACCAGTTTGGCGACAAACGAGAACTGTGTCTCGTAAAACTTGGCTGTAAAATTAGATAATATGGGACCTCTATATAGAACAAAAGTTATGTCTTTAAGGTTTAATTTGTAAAATAAATTCGGCATTTCAAATGCTACATTAGCCGTGGTCTCTTGATCGTCAGCATTTATTAAAAGCGTTTTTTTAATTCATCTTGCGATGATGAAGCTATATGATGGATAAATAGTAAATTTATACACTTGAAACTTGCTTTATCATGAAAGATTTTTCGATATCATCGTATTGGCTTAGGATAGTGTATGTATTTTTGTGAATAAATAAATCATGTTAAAATAACAGTTAATTTTTGTATCTTTGTTATTTTATCGAATTAGAGTTAAGATGATAGAGGACAACTCTTTGTTTTTAATTTATGTTATTATTATTAATTACTTAAGATGTCATGTGGAACATGGTTTAATGGTTGCAGCTCCTTACAAACACAGGTCATAAGTGTACAATGTGTTACCTACATGATTAAATGAATTTTGAATTTGAATTTGTAGTGGTAGAAAATAAGGTAACTCTTGCAATTTTAACACAAGCCACTTACTGTAATTATCCATCAGTAGACCTTCCCAATCAATCCACGAGACGTTGGAGAACTCATATTTCGAAGCATAACACTCCAATTCAACCTTCTGATTTTCAGAGTACCAGCCCAGACTGTCCTTTACTCCAAAACCGTCTGGCACCTCTTGAATGATGAATCTTCTCTCTTCAGACACGTGACCCATGCTATTTGTGGCGTGGCAAGTTATATAGCCAGATGCACGCGCGTTTACTTGTACTTCTGACGATGTTTTTATTATAGATTCGAATTTAGTACGTTTAGTCAACTGAAAGGGAATAAAAGATTTCATTATAGTATAGGAATTTAGGGAGCGCTCAAGTATTACGTCACGCAATTTTTGGAGATTATTGAAAATGTGTAATATGTATAAGGAAAATATGAACTAATACATACATCTAGCCGCTTTTCCTGACCCTTCTCATCAGTGAATACCATATCTATAATGGGTTGTGGATACCCAACTGCCTCGCATTTTATTGAAGCAATTTGATCCTTCAAATACTTTCTCGCATCGCTGCGTCCAAAATTAATCACTGGTATAGCTGGAACATAAATTTTTACAATAAATTTTTCTCATCTTATAAAAAATTCGCAAAGGACGTAACATCTATCAGATCTTACTTTGTAACTCTTAGTAATGATGGAAATTATTTTCATTATTCAATCCAACCTTGTTGTCTGGGATTCTTACAATAATTGAAAACAGACACGGGATTAGGTCAAGCTTCCTAAAGCGAAACATAGATGGCGCTTCTTTAAAGAAATTATTAATTTTATAATTAATAAGGTTAGACATTATATGTCATAAAATTATTCATTTTTACCCAAATTAATCTGTTTAGGATAAGCAAAGTGTATATTATAAGTGTATTATTGGTATCATCATTGTAACCTTTCTAATATGGTCCCTGGATCATTTTGAATGTAGTTCAAATTTAAATACCTACGAATGGAATATGCTAATATTATAAAAAATAGATTTATTCAGTGTGCGCAAGTAACACTTGCTAGTACAGTGCCACTTGAAGAAACCTAAAACATGCTGAGACCCAAAAATAGTAATGTGTTTTATGGGTTTGTTGTGGATGTGATCATCTAAATTTCTTAAAAGGATCGAACAGCTGCTAAACCCAGAACCCATAGGGTTGTGGCACTACTGGTATTGAGTGTCCATGGGCGGCGGAACTACTAGACTATTATTATTTATAAACTATCTGCCCCCGCGAACTTTGTTTCGCCTTAAAAGTATTTTGTGGCTACCTTTTTAGTACATACCAACATATGAAACATTTTGCTATAGAGACTGTTCGCTTTTCCGGAATAAAAACCTAAGTACTAAATAATAAAAAAAACGTGTGGCACTCGGGGACTGCCGCGGTAAAGCTATTGCATAGCATTTTTTATCAACTTATGCAGTTATAATTATTTATTTATGCAGTTTTCTTTGATATTAATTCAAGTTTTATCTTTGATATTATTTCAATCTACCACTCTACCAGACTCAGACTAAAACGCCTATATAGTCTATCTCACTCTGACGCGTACCGGCTGCACTGGCCGCGCTTACGCCACGTCACCGATCTCGTCAGAGAGATGGGACGTATGCGTTCTGTCCTATTCTAACGAGTATTTGCCGCACCTATATTACGTCATCGTGTGTATGGTTTTTTTCGTTACGGAATTTCTGGATTCGTTCGCCGCGCTCAAAGCCCGCGATAAAATCTATGCAATAGCTTAAAAATCTCTCGATAAAAACCTTCCTCAGAGTTCGAGGATTAATTTGAAGAATTGTAGAATTGTTCCCGCCGTTTTCGAGTTTTGCGATTAATTTTTCTTTATAATAATAAATAGTGACTTACCAAGCGGTCTAAGATCGTAGGTTACGTTTTTTGTTACATAATCATTTGTTGCAACGATTGTATAATTTCCTGTATCGTTTATATTTAAGTTTGAGATGGAATAATCCACGCTTCCACGATCAGCTACCAAATAATATTTTCCAGCGACAACTGTTGGCAATTGCACTCCATCACGAAAACTGGAAATTATAGTGAAAAATTAGATTAAAGAGCAATAGAAAATCATTATTAAACAAGGCATGTCAGCAATTTAATACTATTTCAACATATTTAATTATATATAGTTTAGTGCTAAAACTTCTACACAAGCGCACTATGGGTTAACTGTACTGCCGGGTTGCTAAGTGTCTTGCGCGTTCAACATAATAACGCCCTAAGAATGCTGTTGGGACTGGCACGCTTTTGCAGTGCCTTACGCTTGTTGACTCTGGGAGACAAGTGCGTAGGCTGTTCAATTATTTCATATTTAATGTATTTTTATTTGTTGTTGAACTAACTACTGATGACTAGCGATTAAAAAGAGTGCCGGAAAGTTTCTTGCCAGTTCTTCTTACCCGCTCTACGCCCTTGACTTGCGAACTGGTAGTAAATGTATATTTACAATTAAATTAACTTCCTTTTGACGATTCATACGTGTACTTGTTTACCTATATGAATAAAGATATTTTGAATTTGAGGTACTAAAATTAGTCTTTAAGTGGTACTTACTAACATTTATGTGTGTTATCTAATTGATCATTTGGTAATTGTTTACTTTAGCTCAGAATTTAATGGATCAATCCCGGTACACTGTTACACACGGGCCTAAGCCAGAACACAGTTTTTATCGGTTACTATCTTCTAGAAATTTACGGGTAATTCTTTCCGTACCATTTAATACAACTGCTCGTTGAAGGATGATTTAAATGGATTTCGGGAGGTCTAACAATTTGATAGATTCGTGTTACTGTTTTGGGATAATTTAATATGTTTATTTAAAGAGCGAAGTGCCGTTTTGTTTTAAAGATGCAGTGTAACTCTTTATAACGAATTTCAAGGGCCCGATCAGCATAAAAAAATCAAATTTAACCAATTACAATATTGTATTTACTATCAATATAATATTATTCTAAACACTTTTCTTTTACTGGCCATCTTGACAGTTTCAAAGTTTGTTTACGACAGATAATACACGATAGGTGAGGGTGGTGCGTTTAGTATCTGAGACCAAAATTTCCTACAGGCAATGTAATCTAAGAATAATGGCACACATGTTAATGCAATTAACAATAACGAAGGCGAGACGGCTGTTTATGACTTCCTTCTTAGAAATTTCGGCAAAAATGAAAATATTTCTTCGTTATAGAGACAGGTTGTTGCATTATAAAGAGTGAAGTTTTGTAAGGCTTTTGTGTTAAACCAAACAAATGTATCAATTTGGCGTTATATAGAGTTTTTCGTTATACGAATGACGTTATAAAGGGTTACATTGTACATATGTCTTACACAGTGAAATTAGCACGCGGATAGTCCGATATCTTCGCATGAAGCTTTATCATCCTTTGCTTCGTTTCCAGTGTGTTCATCTGATTATGTGGTTTCGTTAGGTTAATAAACCCTTCATCTGGAATTAGAAATTTAAATGTTATAGTGCTAAATAGTCACATTGGGTCTTTTTGTGTCAGCGCTATTTTACTCTTAATTTTTTATGATTATTGTCCGTAAACGTTCAAATAGACAAGAGGCTTTTAATGATCCTCACATTACATACAATTCTTGATCGACGCAGCTTTTAAAGCACTTCTTTCACTTTGCTGCGAGTCCAGGATTTTTTTTTTATTTTTTATTATTGATATTGATATATTTACTTCAGGTACTTTTGGGATCACGGGACAACAGAGTTACATAGCTGTTTTGTACACAATCCGAAACGATAATTCGCCGGGAATCGAACCTAGGGTTACGCATTACTTTTCGTTAATTTAAGTACCAAACCTTGTATACAAACCTTTGTATATTTTCGTAAACTCTTTCTTTTCCTCTCCATTCCTATTCGTAGATAAACATGTGTAGACGCCAGCATCTTCCTCTGTTGCGTTAACTATAGTTATCTTCTTATATAAATTACCACCAGTAGCCTCCTTCTCGTTTGTTTCATTCAAAACACTCTGAAAATTAATAAGAACTTCATGAAAGGCAAACATACTAAAACAATTTTTTATTTTATTTATAATGCTTTCTTAAAAATGTCAAATGCCTTTCACTAACGATTCAAAACTTCAACAATCTTAAACAACATTTCTCTAACGATTCATAACTTAAAACGGCAACGCACTCGCGAGCTCTCTGGCATTGAGAATGTCCATGGGCGGCGGTATCATTTAACATCAGGTGAGCCTCCTGCCCATTGCCCGCTGTTCCATAAAAAAATGTGATGAAACGGAACGTATTCGTTTTGTACAACAGTAATTTAATTACAAAATTGTAAGTGTTATGTAGAGATTATTATGTCACGTAAATGTCAAATGAAAGAGACTAGCTGCCCAAGACACAGGGAATCCTAGTGCACTTTCTTTTTTAACTAAACATCCTTTTTTATTATGTATAATAAAGTTTTTGCTTTCTTCCTTTCGTATGTTCGCATGGATATTACATTTTGCTGTCTCATTCTCGACAAATCGTACGTCTTCGCAATCTATACAAATCACTTTCTGTCTCCAACAGAGACCAGAGCAAATCGTTAAAGTGACGCTAAAAGCTGCAATGGTGATATTGCAGCTTTGCTCCCCACTAAAACTCAACGATCCCTTCGGCTCGCTATAGACAGTAGGCAAAATCAAAATGTCATTTATAAGTAACTAATGAACGTCAGTAAAGATACGCTTCTAAATTTACATTTACCGTCAGTTTTCAAATTCATATAAGTAAATTATGAACGTCCTAAGATACGCTTCTAAATTTACATTTACCGTCAGTTCTCAAATCAAGGGCGTAGAACGGACGATTCTGACATGCCGAGTCTTTGCGTGTAATTTATTCATATAAGTAAATTATGAACGTCGTAAGATATGCCTTTAAATTTTACATTTCCTGTCAGTTCTCAAATCAAGTGCGTAGAACTGACGATACTGACGATGCCGAGTCATTTTGTGACGGCACTTTTTTAAGTTTTCTGCAGATCTTAATGTGTTATTACTATTGTTTAGAGCACTTTTTTTTACATTACTTTCTATGCCAGTCCAGGTATTACGATTGGCTATTAATTCTAAGAGAATCCGCCTGCTTCCTTATAAAAAATACACAGTAACACATATATGTAGTAGATTAAAGACTTTTTTAGCTTTTAAACGGACCTAGTATTTTGTAAATAGTTCTCCAATCAAGGGAAACGATACGAATCCCTAACCTAATCTATCATTTCGAAACATCTATATATTTAATTACTTATACAGTTTCGGAATTCCTGCATTCCTGTGTCGCAGTTTTATTTAGTTTACATTTAAGATAATTTAAATAGAGATATAGGCGTTTGACCACAATATCTAGTGAGATTATACTACAGGCTGAATCTGACAAGCTTATTAAGAAAATAAATAAATAGCATAAATGTCAGACTAGTATATCTGTTCTCGAATCACTTTTTACACAAAACGTTTGGCCACAATCCCACCTGCCTTGCGATTCTGTAACTCACAGCGGTTTTCGCAGCGGCGGTCGCGCTCCAATCAGTCGTGAAGCAGCCATTTTATGATTTGGCATCTGATAAGGAGGGAGCTTGTAGTTTATTGTTTATCAGAATGCCAATTATTAAACTGTCTAGGAAATATAGTAGGGGGAAAAGAGTCTTTGTCTCATCTATAAGGAAAACATTCAGTGAAACAGACAAAAAATAAAATATCTGCCTACTTCTGCGTTACATTCCATATTTCACATTTTGATTATCATAGAAAGACTTAGACAGATACATGGGCGGTCCAGATATCAATGTCCGAGTCCTGTTAAACGGGTCTATTTTGTCTGGTCATAAAGATACCTTCCGAGGCTTTATACAACCTATTACCGATTCGAAGACAAATAGGAGATCAGCCATCTGTTCAGACATGATCGGACAGATGTCATTTTGTTTTATTTGAGACATGCCGGTTTTCCCACAATGTTTGCCTTTACCGTACGAGCGAGTGCACATAGACATAAAAACATTGTTACAGCTGGGGATCGAACCTATGGCCCTCAGGGATGAGAGTTTCACCCTGAAGCCACCGGACCCAACTGGCGATTTAAACGTATTATTATTATTAGCTGTGCCCCAGTATAACATATAAACACTTATTTAAGTTACATAACCTAACTTAATCTAATACATCATACGAGTATGACCCGGTTTTGGTAATTAGCATGTCCTGTGACACATGCCCCCCCCCCCCCCCCCCCCCCCTTAAAAAAAAAAAAAAAAAAACAGGCCTCTTCCAGCTGCTTCCATTCTTTTCTGATGTTAATGATTTAAACGTATACGATATTTAAATCTTACCTTCGAGAAAGGCAGTTTCCATACAAGATACACAGCGGTATTCTCTTGATAAGTTACCGTACAGTTAAGTGAAAAAGTCTCTCCTTTAATGAAATATGGCGATTCAGCTTTTATGCTCGGCGTAGGAGGTTTTTCAATTTCTAAAAAATTAAAAAAGTGATAACCACCATCTTCAAACACAATTTAGATAAATAGTGATATTAAATGTAAAATTTGCTAACTAAACATTTATACTTGTAACCACAAATTAACAAAACAATCTTATTAAAATTAAAACTGGTACAAAAAAATTGTTATAAAAAATATTTTTGCATAAAATTCTAAACGTCAACAAAAATCAACCAAAGCGAACAGAAACAATGAATTGTAATCAAATCAAACTTAAATTATCAAACTTAAAAGAATGTTAGTAAATTAGTTGTTAGAAGTGAAACACAAAGAAATAACGCAGAGCAAAACACCATAAAGAAGAAAGCGGTAAGCTTCACAATGTGAGTACATATAATACAACCAAATTAAAAATACAGAACGAAATACTCAGTGACCACACCACGCCAACATCTAGACCAACTATTTCTACTTACGAGTACTCACTAATCGCCATAACATTAGGTCACCGCGCTGTGAAGTACAATTATAACTCGGCTCTTTTGCTTTCAATAAAAATCCAATCTTTGGAGAGTACTTATATGTATCTGGTGGCTTTTGACTCTGCAGCTATTATACCATAAATGTTGTTAGTCAAAGTACAAACTAATCATACTCTTCAATTGTTTTAAAATTCAATCAATCGAAGAATACAATTTGTTACCACAAATTTATTTAATCATAAAATAATTTTGTGGTTCACGGACAAGTTATAGTATTTACACCTACGTTTATGTACAAACACATCTTTCGTTGTGGTAATGTTATGTCTCGTAAAATCACAATTGAAAAATGTTATTTGACTATCCAAAAGTTCGCTATCGATGGTGAAACCAATTTTCGGGCTATAACTATATTCGCTTTCTGGAAAGTCCTGGATATTAAGAACGTTGTTATCAATTCAAGCAATCAAGAACTTAGATCGTAAAAACATGCCTAGACCTAAGTGGGAGTTAAGCGTTAGTAATTACTACTTGAAAATTTTAATCACTTGACATCAAGCAAAAGTTATTTGGCATGCAATTTAAGCAACATTTTTCGTTTTTAACTTCGCCTATTTTACTCATTGTTACATACATACCCCTATTAATTGGACAGAAACATCGGGCGTGGTAGGTTTACATTCTATTACAACTTTTGAGTTACCTATTGATATCAACATTTCTCTGAAAGGTGCGAATAGGCTATCCGTACCTAAAATAATTTAAACATTAACAAGAGAATTTATCTATACCAAAAAATATTTAGTAACTAGTAAAGGGTGACCCAGGTCAATCAAAAACATCTTAGTACACGTATACGTTTTAAAGAAACCTGAATCATAGTCTTTATTTTAATCTAATCCCCTTTAAAAACTTTCATTTCCATTTACGTAAATGTATATTTACGATACATGATCTGTATTAAAAGGTTCTTCTCTTATGTTAGTTAATATAGCAGTTATATTGACGCTCTCATATCAATGCAAAATTTTAAAAATATCATAGTATTTATTGACTTTTATTGACATAAATTTCACACATTTGATAATAAATTTTTTTTACCGGATTGAAGTTACGTATTTACAATTATTTTTCATAATTTTAAATTTAACCGATGTTTCGCGTGCTTTACAGCGTGCGTGGACACGGTGACTGAAGACAAAAGGTGTTGAATGTCAAAAATATCACAGCTGTAGAAAAAGTTGTATTTGTTTCCCCGGAGTTGGTATCGACTAAAAGAAGGAGGGTTTTGGCAGAAATCGCTCACGGTGTCCTCTATATAACTTTTTCTACAGCTGTGATACTTTTTGACATTCAACACCTTTTGTCTTCAGTCACGTGACCACGCACGCTGTAAAGCACGTGAAACGTCGGTTAAATTTAAAATTATGAAAAATAATTGTAAAAACATAACTTCAATCCGGTAAAAAATTGTTTTATTATTAAAAAATATCGTCAAAATTTTTATCAGACCTAGTTAAGGGTCAATCAAAAACATCTGAGTCTGAGACACGTATACGTTTTAAAGAAACAATTGAATCAGTCTTTATTTTAATCTAATGTCCTTTATAAAGCTTTCCTTACCATTGACGTAAATATATATGTAAGCTACATGATCTGTATTAGTAGGTTCCTCTCTTATGTTAGTTAATATAGCAGTTTCATTGACGCTCTCATCAAAGCAGGCATAGTAACCAACAGAAATCCTGCTGACGTTGACTAAATCTAATACAGTTTCATACTTATATTTAGAGTCAGATAGCGCCACAGTTGTTTGCTCATTGAGCAATTGATTGCTATATTCGGGCAATTCCTGTTGTTTTATTTGTACTTTTTTATTAGATCTGCATATTATTGTGAAATTTTGTCCCTTCTCTAATGTTATTTCATCCGTAGAAGGAATTATTATCGGCCCGTTTGTATCTGAAACCAGAATTGTGTTACATTTTATCGGTGTTGTGTACAACCGCGCCTAAGTTTAACATAATGAAAGGGAATTAACTTTTCATGGAAACTTCCCTAGGCTAATTTGTCAAACGCGTAATATCACTTATCGAGTAGTTCATCATGTTAGGACAAACATGTGAACAATTTCAGTAGTTAAAGGGATTAAAACGATGAATCTATTAGCTTTTAAAAGGTACAGTGAGAAACCTCAGAGTTGCAATGAGGTACTTTTCCATTGAATTTCCTCTGTTAATGGGACTTTTTGAATCTGATTGAGATTTGAATTCTAAGATTTCTTCGATGTTTATCTCTATAATTGGGAGTCTGTAGCCCAATTCCCTCTATAACTGTCCTTCTGGATTGGGACAGGTTTTGTGGTGTTTGTTTACAAACATTTGAATGTCTTTCGCACATGATTGGTTTGTCAGTACTATCTCAGGTATCACGGAAAACAATGAAATTAGTTTTGTTTTTTTTTTTCAAATTAAATTTGTAGCACCAAAAATACGCATTTTTATCAACATTTTCACCTCTAAAAATTGAATAACGGTAGATTTCGACCTATACAGGCGGGTTCCTCTTTAAATGAGACAACTATAATATTAAATCTGCTTAATTGGGAAACTGGAGTAGGAATGGAAACCCTCAATAATTGGTACATAATTCTTGGTCCCTTGAGATCCCAATTAACCAGGTTTCACTGTATATACTTCCAACGATACTTGAAACTGTTCTTCTAAAATGTCTTTTGGGTAAAAAAAAGTCTTAGGTAACTTGGTTTAAAGGCTCGGACACGATGTTGGCCGCAGAGCTAGTGGTCACGTGATAATATGTGGCAAAAAAAACATTCGAGATCGAAACGGCACATAACTTTAAACCTTAAATTATGAGCTTTTTGTAACTGGTGATTTCTATGAATTATATTTACGAATCTATATTTTTGATTTTTGTTGTCAAATTATAACTCTTTCGGGTTTTTTGTCTTTTAAAAAATAGAATTTTTAACGCGCTTTAACACTTGGTTTTAGACATTCACCAAATAAGCTCTAATAGTATGATGGCCCGTTGCCCCGCAATGGGACATTTGACATGTCTATTTCTTTCACTTTTCTATAGTCATAGAATTAGATTAGCAGTTGATAATGGTGTTTAGTCTGTGCCTGTCGACTTTTATGTATACACGCCGGTTCGCAAAATATCATTGCTTCACCGTACAAGCAAGAGCTAATAGTATGATTAGAAAAACCACACGCACAGGTGGGGTTCTAACACACGCTTAGACTAACACATAAATACAAGTCCATCGTATGTAGCCTTGTTCTACATCACAATTGTAATAGATTAATTAACAAAAACACTTTTAATTTGCCTGCGAGGGTGTGGTTTTGGGGAATTAATCCTATCAAACGAACAATTGATCTGATCAAATTGTGGAAACACAATCAATTAACTTATTAGCACCCCGTTGTTTTTCTGGTTATGTTAGTAATTGTGTTAAGACTGAATAATAATCTATAATGATACATTATAGTAACAATGTAATTAAATTAATTTAATATAATACATCCCTTATATAAAGGCGAATTTCTTATTTATAAAAATACTGTGTTCAAAGTGCCTCATCAAATACATAGATATAACAATATGAATATGATTGAAGTTTACTGAAAAGCGATCTAGGGTTTTGATTTATTAACTTATTTTCCCTAGTGTTAGCAGTGTTTTTTTTTTCATACAGAACTGGACACCGTTCGAGAGAATGTAAACGCGTCCGAAATAAATTCCATTGGTTCACAGCCGGAATCCAACCTACAACCCCAGACATGAGAGTCGCACACAAAAGCCACTAGGCCAAAACTGCTCATATAATGGTTCTAAAAACGTTATTCTTTTGTTTTCAATCGAACTGTTTATAAAACATTATCACAAAACGCAAAAGGAAGTCTAGTATCTGAATACACAGTATCCTGTTGATAAAAGAACAAAGTTACAAGCTCTGAGCTGTTCATTAAATATAGTTACCTCCCCAAGTTATTCGTACTCCGATAACTGGACTATACATTTTCAAATACATTTTTAATTGAAGTTTTGGAAGTTATCGCGTAAAAACACTTTCAACTTAATGTTACATGTTAGACAATTTTCTGCATCTCTTTCATCTATAGCTGTCATTATCAAAAATGTATAGAATCTTAGAATGTTTCGTCATAGTCGTAGAATAGTGACGGATCTGACAAATAGTAAACTTTACAGGGCAGCCATTTCAAAATAATATAATCAATAATCATGTTAGTTATATTTTAAGGTACGTTATTGTTTTTATTGTTCTTATTTTTTGTGCATTTGTGTGTTGGAATCATGTTAGTTTTTATCATAACTATTTTAATTCAAATTCTGTTATCATGAAAATTGGCATACAAACAAAAGGGTTTGTTTTGAAACAAAATAAAAATAATAACATTAAATTACACAGTTTTTACACGTGTTGCTATCAAATCCGTCACTGATCAATTTGAAATTTAAAACACATGGATTTTTTTTAAATGTAGCCGTAATATTTAGTCAATGTAGTATCCAAGTACGATAAAAAGTGGATTTTGTTTTTCAAATCCGACATTCTTCTACGATGAGACGGTTTCTCTTATAGAGGCCCTTTCATTTACATTGAACATCTTCAGTCCAATAATGCGTTCAAATGTTCATGGGGTCTCGCTTATTGCAGGACGTCGGACGTCTACAATGTTTGATTGTGCAGGTGTGGTTACGCCTTTATCAGCCGTATCAGCATGCTGGCGGTAATAGAGGGAAGGCTGTATTACCCTTAGATGGGTTATTGCAATGGACTGCATGTGCTCTTTTTAATTTTATAATTTAATATAAGGGAAGAAAACAAAAAAAAAAAAAAAAAAAAAAAAAAAAAAAAAAAAAAAAAAAAAAAAAAAAAAAAAGAAGGGGGGCCCGCCCCAAAAAAAAAAAAACAAAAAAAAAAAAAAAAAAAAAAAAAAAAAGGGGGGGGGGGGGGGGCCACCCCCCCCCCGGCCCCCACCCCCCCGGGGGGGGGAAAACGGGGGGGGAATAAAAAGGGGGGGGGGGGGGGCAAAAAACCAAAAACAAAGAAAAAAGGGGGGGGGCCCCCGTGTCTGGGGGGGGGGGGGGTGTTTTTTTTTTCCCGGGGGGACCTCCCCCAAAAAAAACCCGGGCGGGTTGTGTGCTGAGAGTAATGCATTTTTTATTAAAAAACAAATATTATGTTAACCAAATAATATTATACTGAATGTCTTGAAGATATTTTTACTAAGACATGATTGATTGATTTTTTTATATAGAACTATGTATATGTGTTCTTTGCTTAACATTTTATACAATAATTCTAAATATTTCTTCTTTTTGTTAATGACATATTTTACGTTTCTTGACACGCCACAGTTTATTTTGTAATTTACAAAATCTAAACCGAATAAATCAACGTAAAACCCCAAAACACAAAACCCTGGTATGTCCCATTTTCAAATTATAAGTTAACCAATTTTGTTTTGTGCGTTGATAATGAAAAAAATTCACTATCTTAAATAAAACGAAGTCTATATTCCAATCTATATTAACTATAGAATAGTAAAAATCTATACGTGAATGTTGTCCTCAAAATTTTTGAACAGTCCCTGACAGCATTTCAAAAATACTTAAGTAAATTGGCACTGTACGCATTTTTTTAGTCTCACCACTCATGAACAACAGTCTCGAAGTCGTTAAAAAAAAAAACACTTTTTTTTTACTATTGTAAGAGTTTTAACAATAATTATTAAAATATTTGTTTACAATAACTGTTATAAGTATGTAGCCCATTTTATTTCGTAATGTGACAAGGGTGGAAAAAATCATGTTTTATTAAACTAACAGGTAAAAATGACAGTCCTGGACAGCCCCCCCGCGGGGCGACAGTCCCCTGTTACGTACTGAGGACTGTTTTATAAAGCATTTCGTGGGTTTAGTCTCATTGGTATTTGCATAGATCAAAATCATTAACAATATTTTGTCTCTTCCTTAGGAAGTATAACACCACCCAACAAGGAACCAGCCAAAACACGAGAAGAAATAATAGAAAAAAACGTATAGCAGAACGTTTGATGAGAACACTTAAACGGGAACATTTAAAACCTATTTTCAAAATTTACAAAATGTGGATGGTAAAGTTTTGGCATTATTGAGAGACGGACCAGTAACACAATATCGAAACAAAGCGACGTTTTATATTTTAGCTTCAAAGCTCAAAGGTCCATATTAAGATTTTTCCCCCCCGGCTTTTAAGGGGGTGGCCGTGGAAAGAGGACCGCAGATGGTGTTGGCACTACACGCAAAAGAACTGCAGATGGCATTGTTGCTACAGGAGGTAACATTGTTAGTTTGATTCATTTTAATTACTGTACAAAAATGTCCTGTTTACAATCTTTGCAATTGACGTGCTGTAAAATAATGACTTACATATTCAAATTGCAAGTACCTGAAAGGTTTCAATGCACTCTTAAAACACATAAACAGAATAGTGTAAAATATCAAGATGTCGTTTGGGACTATAAAGCATGAAAAACTTATGAAGTTTAAGCTGCTGTAGAAGAGCAACTTTTAACTAGGGGTTATTAACTCCACTCGAGCTACTAAACAACTCCGAAGACGAAACCAGGCCAGCCGTTTTTCCGCGGAAATAGCATTATTCAGAAACCGAAATTTCACGACGTTACAATTTTATTACTAATTTGACAATAATTCAAAGCAGCCAACAGCATTGAAAAATGGTGATTACGTTTTAGTTAGGTTTAATGGCAGAAAACGGAATATGTTATGCTGCGTTATTTATAAAGTGCAAGCAAGTCAAATCATTTATTTCAATTAGACCATCTATGCATTTTGAATCAAAAGAAGTAAATAATGAAACTAACAGTATTTTTAAATTTGTGATCTTAAAACATTTAAATGGATGAAGATTTCTGATATCAGTTTTGCCCAATACTGCAGAAATTACCACAACCAGATCTTACTTTAAAAGGAGAAGATTATTTTCCAATACGTTAGTTTTTGAGAAATAATAATTTTTAAGATAGTTTCCTGAAATGCCAGTTAAGACTGATTTTATAGAAGACATTGTAAAATTAATGCCAATTACTTTAATAGTACAATTGTTTTAAATACTAAGAATGTTGATTCTGATATTAAGTTAGTTATGTAAGAACTACGCATTAAAATTATTACTTTCATACTAAAATTCGTTTTTTATTCATAAAAACAATCCCTTGTGCGTACAACAGTCCCCTGTCACGTTTTTGGATAAAATCGTTGATAACTCAAAAACCGGACGAAAATCAGTGGGCCTTTCTAAGAGATATATTTATTTTAATATTTCTTTAATTTTATAACAAACATTCTCAACATCTAACAAAATTTTCTTAGGACAGTCTTGTATGGGCGAGTTTCCAAAAGCAGAAAACACCCATACACATTTAAATATAAAAAATCTTTTTCTAACGACACTACAAGAATAAGAGTTTGTTACGCTTTCACGCCTTAATAGCTGAATTACTACGATCTATGGTGGAGTATTAGTGTGAAACCTTTACGAAGTTTGCGAACAAAGGTCGACGACACACCCACTAGCCCCCGGCGTTAAAGGGGTCCATGGGCGGCATTTAACACTTTATTCCGAGCCTCGTAGCTCTCATAAAACAAACATTTCCACGAACAAAAACAAGAACAACACCGAGTATAGAATATTTAACCGCAAAATAATAAGGAAAATATAATTTTAAATACGGTCATAAAATCTAGTTTCTTTGCAATAACTCTCAAGTATTTATATGATTTGATTCATTAATAATAAACAAATTTTTTTTTTGAAGGCTTACCGACTACCGTACAGCAAGATTGTCATAACATTCTTTAGTGTGCTACCAAATACCAAACAATTATTCCATTCTAATTCACGAGAATATATAATTAAACTTTTAGCAGTTATGTAATTTAAAAACAGGTGTCTCAAAAGAAAGTTCATATTTAGTTGATTGATTCAAAAAAAAGTAAGTCATGTATCAAAGAAGTGTTTTTTCGTTGTTAAAGTCCACATTTTGGGATTTTCGCGTTCGCGGCACTCATTTAATTGAACAAGAAAAGAGCGGATCGTATCTTCCTACTTCTGGTTTCTTCTATCTATGTTTACCATAGTCATTTTGTATGATGATTTGATATTTCAAAGGAGTACCGAGAGTTTTTTACGCCGGCTTTTTCTCTCGGCCTACACCCTCTGTCTTTTTTGCGGAAAAGTAGGGATGTCTACCGATACAAATTTAATGACGTGGAAGAAGTGATACCTGTATCTTATACTCCATATTGAACATATTTTATTTTATTTTATCAATATTATTAATTACTCTAAAGCTAAGAGTTTGACTACTGGTTCAAATAAAGCATATTTTTGTTTCAATAGCGCTAGTGTAGTGGTTAAAAAGGGCTCTTATACCCTAGGATTGTGCATTCAAATCCCAGCTAACACAGTTTACACGCTGGGGTATGCTGATGACATAGATATTTCAGTATCGGGGAACTGTAACAGCACCTTATGTAATCTCATGAGGATTGAGAGATGGTGTATTAAGCACGAGCTGTCTGTCAAACCATCAGATAAAGCAAGAGTTCCTGAACCTTACAGACTTCCCAAACAAGAGTTTAAAGACAACACAGAACTAAAATTTGAAGAGGAAATCCAATTTCCGAACCAATTCGACTTAGGGTCCTTCAAGAAAAGAGCGTACCAATTCTTAGGCCGGCAACGCATTCGCGAACCCTCCCTTGAGAGTTTCCATTGGCGGCGGTGTCACTAACATCAGGTGAACCTCCTGCCCGTTTGACCCTGTTCTTTAAAAAAAAATACTTAGGTGTGATTCTAGACAGCAAACTGATCTGGAACAAACTCCTTGAAAACAAACTAAATAAAGCAACGTTCGCCATCTATCAATGCAAAAAGATGCTAGGCGTCAAATGGGGCCTAAAATAACAGTATGGATATATGACAATTAC